TACTAACCATATAAGGTGCTATATGTATTCTATCCATCATCAACACACCACCCTAACACACAAAAAGTGTATAGAGATATCCCTCACAAATATCCTTGGTTTACATCTGTACATCTTTGTTTATTTACATTGTGAAATGAAACAATATATACCTGCACCCATTCTCTCAACAGTAGCACAAATAAGACTTTATAGCTGGTCATAAATTAAAACATATCAACCCCAGTGATGGATCAAGCAAGATATTATGTATTTGTCGGAGGGAGATCAGGTATGAAAAAATGAAGTCATCGAGTATATTTCAAGAACATTGCAGAGAAGTGACACATACTTGCAACATATTTAGGAAGTAATTAAATCACAAATAACCATCGGAAAATGTGTATATAAAGCCTGAAGTTTGAAGGACAGATCAGTTGCATTGGAATTATTTGATACCAGCAAGGAGATAGATTTAGAATAGTTAGACTGACTTATCTAAGCAATGTAAATATAATACAGATATATAGATACAAAGAATTGTCTCCCTTGGTAGCGCAAATGGTGTGCCAAGCAAGTTTAACCAATATGTGCCATAGGGCAGAGTATAATAAACCTATGACAAAGCATGTAATGACATCATAGCCAGATTGCAGTTTCTCATACACAACAAAAGTCAAAACATTACTTATCTGTGACACAAAACTTGGACATCATAAAGTTATAAATGTTTAGTATCAAAATTTTACAGGTGATATTGCTCTTTTCACCTATAAAAATAACATCTTGATAAAACTATTCCCTAACCTTGATATACCAGGTGATTAGTCCCTAACCTTGATATAACTAGCCCCTAACCTTAATATAACTAGTCCTTAACCTTGATATACCAGGTAATTAGTCCCTAAGTTTGATATAACTATTACCTCACCTTGAAATAGCTCTTCCAAAAATTGATATAACTAGTTCCTAAACTTATTTTAGCTAATCCCTAACCTTAATATAACTCTCCCCTAACCTTGATATAACTAGTCCTTAACCTTACTATTCCCTTAATGTCAGTAGATTATGATTATGCAACGGAACTGGGTGATAATAGAAAAGTCACTCTAGTAGCTATCTCTAGTATCTGTGATAGTGCTATCCTATAACAGACCAGATACTCTATGTGTGTGACTAGGAATGTGCACTGGCACCATTACAAACACATTCTTTGATGATTCATCCACACCAGATTCTGTATGAAACATTACATATCATTTCAGCATTTTCTACTAAATGTGTTTTGTTAACCTTTATATGTTTCTAAATCATTCTACAAATGAAAATGAAGTTGAAACAAAGACACCAGTATTATCAATCTCAAATTCACCTAAAAAATAAACAACACAAAACACAAAACCCTATAACAATGTACCTTGAAACAGGTAAGAAAAAATGAATGGATGTTTACATGTTCTTCATCTATGTGACTCTTCCCACTGCTAGGTCTCACTATTGATACACATCAAATGTGGTATTTGTACTGTCAGTTGTTACATTGAATGGTTTCATGGAAAGCAGAAAGAATGTAATTTTTCAGGGAAATTGTGATCAATGTTTTTTCTTATTTTCAAATTATCCATTTCTGTGTGATTTGATTCAACCCTCCAAAGAAGTAAAAAATAAAACCACTCTGACATACAGCCTGACAATATTGTATATTAGACATCTGATGGTGTGAATTGATATCACTCTGATCATATCTACAACAAACAGCAGGATCCACCACAACCATGTTTCTGGTACGACACCTATAACGCTGGCAGCAGTATAAAGTAACCATTATCCTACAAAGCATGAACAACATTGGGGTGAAAATTTGAACCATGCATACAACTCTCACCAGGCGTCTATATATATATATATATATATATGTACAATGAAAAAAAACTATGTATGTGATATAAAAGAGAATGAAAAAAAGTCAACAAAACCATTCACACAGTTCGATGATTTTATACATTTGTAAACTGAGGTTCACATGTACGAACATATGTATCAATGCAATATTAAAGCTTCATTAACAGGTTAGACAATAGCTCTATATCACACCTTCCTGAAAGCAATAGAGAAGCAAAAAAACGAACGGTGTGGACACAAAAACAAAAAAAAACCTAATGGCACAACATAACTATTAACCCAATGCTTAAACGGTAGAAAGTATCAAGGGAAGCAACTCTTACAAAGTTCTGCAACCAAGGCAAAGGTACCAAATTCTATACAAAATCTAAAAATTTGTTGGGAAATTTTGATTACACTTTACGGCCTATATGGCTGCCCTATTGTAAATATACACAAAAGAGATTCATCATAATCCATTTCATTATCACTAGTAACATTGTATGTAATAACAGCATTGCATCAAATTTGCTACCCTAAAATTTGCTAATTCAAAACAGATGACTTCCATTAACAGTGGTGCCATTTCCCTTTTAAAACAGTGATAGAGAAAATGCTCAGATACAATGATAATAAACAGAAATGTAATGGAAATGAAAACCCTGATTTCTTGCTTAAAATCACTACAGAGCATGAAGTAAGAGGTTATGCATTTCTATTATAGCTATTTACATAAAAGGCTAAATACTTGCAGGCCACTACAACACAAGATTGTCAATTGAGCAATATATATTAGCACTGACAGACTTTCTTGTGAAAACTTTTCATCTATCCTGATAGTCCAAATAATTCCTAGAGAATCCATGGGCTGGTACCTGTACCAGTATCTTTGTGTATATATATATATATATATAATTTAATCTATAACATGTGCAAACAAACGACAACATAGTGGATTTAAATGAGAAAATTGTCAGTCCTAACAGTAACATAAGCATACAATAAGTGGACGGAGCAACCAAACCAATTTTGAGTCAACAAGTCGTCTGAAGTAAAATTAAACCCACTTTCATGTTGGTACAATTTAAATTTGAAAATTAGGATGACAATAAGAAGCCCCTTTTCAATCCTAGAAGTACCAAACGAGGTATGATATACAGAGTTGTGTATGAGAGTGATCCAGTGATCCAAATAAGTTTTATATAAGATATACATAATATAAATATTCCCTCTTTCTGATTTAAATCTTGAAAATGGTTCCAATGGAATTGTACACTCTCTAAATGTGTATATCATCTACAATATATAGGTAACCTGGCTTTCTGATCAGGATCAACCTTTTTATACTTACTATACTTACAGACCTGAATCTCTTTCCTGTTAAAATAAACATTTCCTATAATTATACATTATGTATCCTTCCTAACTGATACACATCACCATTTAAGACGTTATTAAATATACATACATATGTGGATCTGTACATTTATTGCACTGCAACTCAAAGCACTATGTATACAGGTGTATATCATGAGAGATTAATAAATGTATAATCAGCTGTGTCTAGGATCCATAGAAGAAAGCGAAAATGTGCCAATGCATCCTTCAATTTTGTTACTGTTTTATCTCTTTTGTCTTTTTTTTTTTTTTTTTTTTTAGCAAAATCATTTTACTGGCTGATGAATGTTACAGAAGTGACATTACATGTCATCTGAATACAAAACAAGTTTTTTTTTTCTCTGTAAAGACAAAATGTCATCCTGTTGATGCAATCGCACACTGATTTTTTGTGATATACCATGGTATCCACCATTTATGAAAGATGATTTTTGTCCAAATTCAGGAGTCACGTTAATCATAATATGCCTGTATTTATCAAAGTTTAGATATTACATCTGATAATACTGGTAAAAGTCTACTGGACATCAAATAAATCATGAATCAATTGCTAAACACTAACATGTTTTCTTTTATTTGTTTTTCTTTTTGGCAATTACTACAACAGTAATCACAAACTACCATTTTCATCACAACACATGACTAAAAATGGGTTGAAAAAAAATCAGGATCCATATCGAACGAAACTTATTAAAACTTAACTTTTGTTTGACATAGTACTCATTTACATTTAATGATAAATTAAATGCAATATTTTTTATATTGTTTTACTTCAAATATATGTTTGTTTACCAATGAATTATTACAATTTTTAGAGAAATAGTTAAGTTGTAAATATATTGCATTTATTCCATTAAACAGCCAATCAAACAGAAGGAGGAAAAACCCAACAATACAAAACAAAAAAACCCCAAAAACAAAACAAAAACACTAAACTGTTCAATGTGCAGGTCATGTTTCATCAAATGCTTCTCCATGAAATGAAAAGAAAATAAGCACGCTTAGTTGGTTTTCATTTGTTTGAAGTGATAGAACAGAAATGTTAGACTCCATCATTTCGAAATCTCTTACATGAAAAAGTTAGTAATTTTTTAAAATGATAACCTCAGCAAATTAATACTAGTACAAGAATGTAAATAACAGATGTCACTGAGAAATATTTTGTCAATTTAAAGTAAACAAAATCTTACTTCTTTGAAGTGTTTTTTTTTTTCAAATCTCAAAAGAATACTTAATATAAATACAATACGTAAATGCACTCCTGACTGACAGGAATACTGTACTCATCCATGGCAATGAGGTTTCAACACAAGGTAAATCCTAAAAGTTTCAAACACGCTATTGATCATTCACATTTTGAGTGTTACATTCACATACATCACAAACATATACATCCAAGTCATTATTGAAACTGAATTAAATAATAAAAAAAATGGCAAATGTGTATATAATAAAAACAAGCAATATCACATTTGAAGCATAAATGTACATTGTGATATACATCGAATTATGTTTTTTTTATCTGATTGTGACACAGCGAAAGAGTTAAGGATGATTAAAAAAAAAGGTTTTACAAACATTCATATAAATTTATCACAAATCCACTTAATGATTCCTCAATGTACATACATGCTACAATGTTCCTCTTCCATGTATCAGCCTATATGGGCAATTAATCATATACAGTTTCCATATACCAAAATGACCTAAAAATCATGGAAACTTTATACATAAATCCATTTCATATTACATTACACAGTTAAATGTATTCATAGTAATTTTTTTCTACAAAACAAAGCTGCTTTTAATAGTTGATTTCAGCTCTTACCGTTTAAACATGGCAATGCTGAAATATTCACCAGGTTTTTATATAATGAATAATTCTATTTTATTTCACTACTACTTAACATACATTTTGTATCTCCTCCATAAAACAATGGTATAAGCAATTAATGAAATGTCAAATGTTTCCTCATGTCGATAACAATAATTGTCAATACAAACAACCACATAAAAAGTCAACAACCATGGTATGTTTAGACTTGATTGACACATTCTATATACGGACATAAGTAACTGAATATAGAGGAATATGCAGTTGATAGAATATAAAAACTTTCAGCAAATTTGATTATTGTCTCAGTTGTATTTTGGAGGAATTTCTTAACTCACAAACATTGTTGCTCAGAAAAACAAAGGACTTTCTAGTCTGTTGTTTAAAGTATTATCAACATCAGACAGTACATAATCTCTATAGATCAGAAACAGCAATTTGTATTTCAAATTTTATTCCTTAATTCTCATAAACCATTGAAAAGTTAATTAACAGCAAAAACATGTATAAAAAGAAACTTTGATTTTCCTTGTTTGGAAACAGGTCCAATAGTAAATTAATTAGACTGAATTACAATGTGTTACAGTAAAAATCAGTAGAAAAGAACTCCGGTTTATTGATTCTGTCAAATAGAGTGTAGTACTGATGAACTGTCTTGTTAACTAAACAAGCATTCTTCAAGCCTTTCTTGCATTATTATACATGTATAATGAAAATCTGCATATTTTTCAACTGTCAAACATTGTTTTGCATGCAAAGTTTCAAACGGATACAAAAACTTTAAAATTTGGTTTGCATTCCAGTCATGCTCGTTCATGGAAATACTCCACTATCTACATGTAAATGAACACAAAGAAATCTAAATAAGAAAAACAAAGTACTGGTAGGACAAAATGGTAACAGGAGGTTTTACAGTTATTTCATGTTTTACATTGTAAGAACAAACAGGTTTCAATGTTACGACAATGACAACAAATTAATTGGTATAATGAATTCTTGATATGGCTGGTTACGCTATATTTCCATTGTCATCCATGTACCAATGCCTACCAACAATCCACAACACAGATCCATGCGATATCAGGAGACGATTATATCAATTCTTCCTGAACAGGCTGCATTATGTTCTCCGCGGGTCAATTGACCGCCAATTCAACGTTAATGAATTGTTTAAGTCGGTCTAAGTATTGTCCATAAAGTTCGACATCGTTGTGTCCTGCTCCCTCAACCCAAAGTGGTTCCACAGCCCTTGGACATCGCTCATGTATGGCTAGGCCATGAGAAAAGTCTATAACCTCATCTTCTGTCCCATGTATAACTAGAACTGGTGATGTTATCTTTGGTACTTTGTCAATACTGTAAATGAAAAATATCAAAGAATTGAGACATTTCTGAATTCAGTTGGAAAATAGCACATCTACATATTTTCATATATGTACAATTTATAAATTGTATATTAAAGATTTAAATCAAAATATATAAGTTATAAATAACATATATATAAAATGCTATCTTTATATATATATTCCAGTATCTCAACTATAATCATATTTTAGATACAGTTCAGAATTAAGTTCTTTTACATGAATTCTACAATCGTAAAACTGCCAACAATTTTATCTTATTTATTTCTTGTAATATATTTTCAGTTGGTGTAAGCTTCTGTAAATATTCTAAAGTAAATGTCCTTTTCAAGCTCAGATAAATTTTCTCTACGTCACACATGAGGACATATACATACATGTACATGTATATTTATATATGTGTATATTATATACCAAATATCATTACTGACAGCACATACACAAAGCTGAAGTACAAATATGAACTCTCTGAAAACTCTTTACAACAAATAAAGAATTGCTGTAAGGTTTTTTTCCTGAAAATTTACAATACTCTTCATATACATAAACATACGTAATAGGGTATACACAATAAAATCTTATCTCTACTTAACATCCCTCATGTACAATATTAGCAAATATATAAAATCTTAGTTCAACTTCCTTCTAACAAGACCTCATCTATAGAAAGGAAAAAAGCACTTGTTCCACTTATACAATTTATATGATCAGTATAGGGAATCTGATAACATGTCTCAAAAAAAAAACCATGGTCTGCTTTAACCAGTTCCACTCTGTACAGGTACACTGTGTTGGCACATGAAGTCTTATGTAGTGTACTTGCACAGAGATGAATTTAGATCTAGTTTTAATCTGATTGTGCTTTAACAGACAGATGGTGGTCAACTGTACAGTATATATGACATCATCTTATGAGTGTGTCATCAATATTGTTGGTTGTCCCCAACCATAGATCCCAAACACTTGACTCAAGCATGTTCTTGCAGATGCTTGCCATGACTGTGTGGAGATAGCCCTAAAGTTGTTACATAACATGAGAATTTAAAGGTGACTGAGAAGGATTCCTTCTGTGATCAATTTAAATAATTTCTTTTCTGAAATGATAAGTATCACTCTATTGCTGATGCAGCCAACACCACACACATGTAATTACATTTTCCATTTAAGCTGTACACTCCCAAATTCATGAGATGCAAAATGACACTTCTACTCTATCGTCTCCATTTCTTCATAGACACATATAGATATAGTATTGATATTATTCTATAAATGTTAATGTAGGAAGAAAACACAAGTTCGTAATTAAGAGCCACAAAATATGGACATGTGCATGTAACAATAGCTTCAATTATCTGAAATTACAATAATATCCACAAGCATACATTGAGAAAAGTTTAAAATTCATTATAACATAAAATAATCCATATTTGCAATTTTTTTGTAAATCTGATTTTTCTAAACAAGAGACCCGAGAGGAATCTCTCAACTGACAAACTTATCTGGACCTGATCATAAACTGGAGATCTAGATCTACAGATTTATGGAGTCTGTAATTATGATCAGTTTCTAAAACTAGTATATAAAGCGATATTTAGTTGAAAAGATCAATTTTCTACACAAGACATTAACAACTTATGTGCAATTATTACAATATCAATAATATTGTGCATACCTAGGAAAAGCATCAAAGAACCATGTTCTCTTTGTATCAGGAAATGCCACTCTCATGCCGGACATCAGTGGAGAGTGGAGAATAGCTGCACCAACTTCATATCTGGACGCAAGATCTACAGTAGGCACTGTGCCGATACTCTGTCCGTACAAAACTACATTCTGTGGACTTATACCATATCTTGTTCGCAGAGCTTGCCAAGCAGCATCAATGTCTGCATAGAGATTTTTCTCTGATGGTTTACCCGAGCTGGCACCATAGCCTGAATAGTCATAGCTGAAAATGTTACAGTTGATTCTGGACCCTAGTCCTATGTAGAAGCTGCTCATTTGGCCCAAATCAACCGCATTGCCATGACTGAAAAGAAGGGTATATTTAGCATTAGGGGAACACCTCGCAAACATGCAGGGTATCCTGTTTCCCCTAGAAGTCCTTGTCATAAACACTTCAATACAGTCTAGTTCTCGCTGAGTGTACTGCCATTCAGCCCTGTCAGTCAGATGGAGGCTATATTTTGAACCCGTTTCATCAGATATCAGTGAATATGTTGGTTCTGGAGGAAGGAAGGCCAATTTTGCTGCTATTCTTGATGGACATGGCGGACAACAAAACAAGCAACACAGCTCGCTGAACGACAGGCTGTTCATGATGTCAAACGAAAAGCGAACTGAAATAGAACCAAAACGATGTAGCAGAAATCAAGCTACCATTTACAACAGTTCCAAGATACCAAACGATGTCATGTGTAGGTGATTTAACACACAATATTGACATACACTTTCTGTTCTTTCTTTCCTCTAATAATACAGCGTGACGTCACTTTGTCATATCAACCGGAAGTGACAAATTGAATTAATATCATATTATCATAACAATTGACGTCCACAAACAATTCGTAAACACCAGCCACTGGAGTTATAATTTACAATGTAAAATTCTAAACACTAATAACCGTTTCATTTGTTTATCCAATGATTTCATTATGTGAAAAAATACTTCCTATGCAAGCGTTTGCATGGCTTGGACTTTTTGAATAATTAACTGCGGAACTAAAATCCCGTGTACGCAATATCCGGTAATAATTTTGACAAGAGCACGTTGTCTCTTATTGACTCTGTCACTACACCACCGTCTTAATAATGAGTACACAAAGAGGAAATGCGAAGAAAGGCGCACAAAAATACCAAAACAAAACTGCGTTTAAAAATGATTTGCATGACCGGACACCAAAAATGCAACAAATCAAGAAAGTTCAAGTAACAGGTGCTTGTCAACACTGTACAGATGTGATAGAATGGAAGATCAAGTACAGAAAATTTAAGCCTTTGACTACAGCTAAGAAATGGTAATGTTGATCAGTAACTCCTTTTACTCAATGTCATGTTTGTCTCCAGAATTGAATACAGGAGGCAAGTTTTGTGTCTCCGTTTATTTCAATTAAAATGTACCATTCAAACTGGCTGGAAAAGCAAGTGCTCTAAAAAGTAAATACACGTCCACAAAGAATGATTTTATGGCGTTGTCCTTGCGTTATAAACTTCTATTTGCTTGGAGATCTCCCACATTTTTTAATAAATCGATTACAGAGGTGTTCTCCCAAAAAAATAGATTAAAAGATTCTAGGATTACATATGTTTTAAAACATTTAATGCAGTTTGTTGTAAAAGTGATCTAAAAATTATTCAGTTTTATGTCAGCTCCAGACTGCCTTGTATTCAGAGCTAAACATGTCTCTAAGTATTTCCTTTTGCCTCTCTCTTTTGTAGTACAAAATGTCTCCAAAAAACTGTGAAACAGTCTTACTTCATCATGTGTGTTCCTTGTATGACAAAGCTTCAGGTGTGTGGAAAATGTGGACAGAAAACAGAAATAGCAGAAAAGTAAGTAATTATGAGAACATCAAATTCCAATGAAAAATATATTTTCTGAAGGTCTAATATTGTAGTACATTTTTTCCTGAACATTTATTCATAAATACCATCTTTCATACAACTAAGGTGTTTATTGGTCCCTTAAAAAAGCGTTTGGCGTCAGTCAGCAAAAGGTATTATCAAGACACCTAAATTTACACTACCATTCTCAATTTTAGTGAATAGCATTGTATCTGTTTTATGTTCTAGGTATGTGATGTAATTTATGTAATATTTGTGTCTTGATAAAGGGGCTGATTGCCTAAAAAATTTGACAATTTACTTATCTGTACTGTTGTTATTACTTCATTTATCATATATCGGTTCCAGTAATACAACTCCTACAAACATTTGTTTGTTAGGATCCGGTATTAATATTGGACCATACCATCGATATTAGTTACTAGATTCTATATATAAATATTCCTGGTATATATATTATAGATGTATGTATATATAGATAAGATAAATTTTCTCTTATGTTCACACTGATATCCTATGTATTGTCTAACTATTTAAGTTACTTTCCTTGTATTTCTGAGGTGCAACATATATATTATGCGCAAAATTTGATTATAATACTGGAATAACTATTTTCTATATTTTTTAGACCTGGGGTATCTGAGGCAGAACAGATGTCACAACAAAGTCAGTCTGAAGCAGAAATAGAGTTTCTGACAGAAAGACAGAGAAGTACGTAATGATAAATCTAAGACAATATAATCGGGAAAACTTTAAATTCTCTCAAAAATTTCATTTCACATCAGCATGCCAGTATATGTGCTCCTGCACTTCATATTGGCTGAATTTGATTTGAAGTTGTTTGTGTGTTATGAGGCACAGTGGTCAAACAGTGACTGTAGGGTTGTTATTTTGAATTGAGACATGGATGCTGTGTTGTATTCGTGAACAAGAGACTTTATGCTGCTTGTTCTAGTAGATTAAGCTGAAAATGAGTACTGACATGTGGTTTAAAAGTTGGTGTACAAGCTTTAAAAGGCACTCTGGCTGTATGTGCCTTGTAGCTGATTGGCCTGATAATAATTTGAGAATTGCTTAAAATTTTAGGCAATTGAGTTGTTGTGATAAAGGTAGAAATTTGAATTATTATTAGTATTAAATACAAATTATAATGAGAGAGCCCTATTTTTTGCTATTCTTTGGTTGTAATTCTGTACAATCATGCATTTTTGTGGGGCATTATTTTTCTGATCCAAAAAAAAATGGTTTGCTAATCTATGATTTTGCAGATAAAATTAAGCTCAAGAAGTCTTCTAATACTTATTATCAAAGTTCGTGGACTTTGTGGATTAGAGAAATCAACAAATATAAACCTCCCCATGAAAACTAATCAAGATTAAAATTAACAACATCACCTTATTTTAGGGAAAAAGAAAATACAAATTCAACATTTTCTGTCTTTATAACTAGAAGCAAAATTAAGAATGGTGAAAATAAATGTCTTTATTCATCTTGTTTTGTTTGAACCTAGATAAAGAGAAGATAAACATTTCTGGTAAAAAAATCTGGGTTTTTGTAGGTCTTCTAAACAAAAACTTGTGTTTGTATTGTTACATTGTATACAAATTTGAATTTAAAATATATTGTTTTGTCATGTAGGACAGTTTTTGCGGTTACAAGCCAGTGGAAAGTTGACAATTGAAAGTTTAAAGAACCTCAAAGACAGTGATGACAATGACTTCTTTAATGATGATGATGAGGAGGAGGAGGAGGAGGAGGAGGAAGAGGATGATTTAGTGCTTGGGACTAAAACTGAGGAAAAGTTGTGCGATACACATGCAATGGACAACATTGACATGAATAAACTGAAAATAGAGACAACAAAGACTGTGATCGTTCAATGATACACATTGTGAAAAGGTCTTTGATTTTGGCCTCATATATAAGGCTTCCCAGTATCCTGGTTGCTTTGATGATAAGAACTATTTGAGTTGGTTTTCAAATGAACACCAACTTGTTATTTAAAAAACACAAGCTGATATAATATGCCAATAAAATGGTTAGAGTTACCTGTACGGAAAGACACCACTGCCACCTATTCCTTCAAATGGATTTTATCTTTATCATGACCGAAAAAGTGAAACCAACCTGTTTCACTGATTTTTGTTTATTTCAATAGAATGGTTCCAGTAATTTTTGTTACGAAATGCTTGTATTTATAGAGAACATTGATTATATATAATAGTTTACTTTTTGGTTTTGATTAAGTATTAGAAATATGTTTGTAAGATTTTAACATTTCAGTCAGCAATTAACATTTCAAATGTAAATATATACACACCGAAACACATCCTATGGAGAAGAAACTGTCGTATGCCTACTGAAATATTTTCATCCTTGAATCCCAAAAAAAACACAACTTTTGCCTCCTAGTGACTCCATCTTCATAATAACGCTAAGGGTTTCCCTCTGAAAACATTGACATGGACAAGTTTTCAACTCCTAGTCTTGTTGTGTTTGCCATTGGTGATAGGGTGTGGAACAAACAAAGCTAAACTGCTTTCCTGTTCACTTTTATTGTTAGGAGGGTCGTCGTTACTTGTATGTTGGAAATTATAAAAAGAAATCCCTGTAAAATAAGGTCAGTAAACATAGGTACTACTCAAGTAAATACTGTAAGGACACCAGGTAATTTAAATTGCAATATACATAATGTCTATAAATGATTCACGTTAAATACAAGTAATTGATAAGTAAAAGTGGTAACACGCTTTCCAAGATGTCTGTAAGTACACCATGTTGTAGTTGTCAGAGTCCAGTAGGTCCTTTAAACTCCCTGGCCACATGCTACGCGCCCGACCCAACAGACTACTATATGCACTTCCATAAACACTCGGACACACCCATGTACAAACTCACACAGTCGTGCACTCCACACTTGACAAGCCTGAACACACTGGACCAACAGACTACTGATATAAACAGAGTGACACAATCAGACTCGCATGGACACTATATATAGACATAGACAGGGAACACCCCCTTTTAACTGTGATACACATAATTAACTAAAACATGTATTGACTATATAAAAAATAACCTTATGAAAAATGTATATGAGCAGTAATATAAGGCCCGGATGAATTTTTATACACATGAATACCAAGGTAATTACATTTATTTTCTAGAATTAGTTATGTTACATGACATTAGCCTAACTTTTGATTTTTCAAGGCTACATCATGTCTGTAGCATGTATTTTCAGTTGGGAAATATAAACCACACTAATCTTTGCTGGAACTGATATGTAATTTAAAGAGATTATATCAACTACATAAAGAAAAATTTAATTATAATTCTGTTTTCTATCATTTTTGCTGATTTCATAACTTCAGAACTAACTTAATCTTTAGTATGTACACTCATCTAGGTAACCAGGGAATGCTGGAAAGACTGAAAAACTGTATTCATTGTGAGAATTCAATATATATTCCATAGTGTACTACTGTTATCTGCTTGAAAATAAACATTAAGAATTCTAGGCTTGGTTATTGCAAGAGATATGTACCTTGCAAATTAAAACCTGTCAGTTGTGCACAATGAGTGAACAAGATATACAGACAGGAACTGGGACATATAACTTGATAAGTACAGAGGAGACTGATAACTCTGACATCTGAGGAAGGACAAGAACACCACAGGGTGAAGTATGGCATGCTTATCCCATACAAGAGAGAATGAATTAACACAAGTACAAAAATGAAATAATGAATATCTTATTTACCATAATATTACTTTATCAATCACATAATGTGAAATGCAGGCAAAGAACTAGCGTTTCTTTAGAAATAAATTACCAAAAGGTCAAAACCAATGATGGTGTCTGTCAGCCATTTGATCTTTTTAATCAGTCCCATATTAGGCTTTACACATCTAGGCACTAAGGGAAACCTACCTTTGAAATCAAAAGGTTTCATTCAATACTTCTCCAGAGGTGAGTGAGTGCTTTATTTGTTTACAACATCTGCGCCTATGTCGGACATTCCTAACCCTAAACGGTATAAAGTATCATTACGTCGACGCAACTCACTACCTGATATGTCTGATATTTCTAGTGACTCTGGAAAATCTACAAAGTCTGCAAAATCTACCATGTCCACCCCAAGCAACCCCCCGTCGGAATCGTTCGTTATACAGAGCCAGGGTCAAGTCATAAACTTAAACCAGCTCGTCCAAGCAACTATAACATCGCCAGGTTTTGCTAGCAGTATTGCCCCATCCTTAGCTCAGGCTCTTGGTCCATCCATTAACGAGTTCATTGTATCAGCTATGACTCCCTTCACTACTAAAATTTCTAAATTAACCGAGGAAATGGCTGTTCTACAAAGTGACAATAAATCTCTCAGGAGTAAGGTAGAGCAATTAGAGTCCAAGGTTGATAATCTAGAGTCCTCTTTGGAGGAGCTTGAGCAATATGGGAGGAGGACCTCGCTACGTTTTCACGGAGTCCCGATGAAGCCAGAGGAGACACAAATGACCGACGAGAAAGTAGTAGAACTATGTGTCTCGAAACTTGGTATTCCTATTTCTACAGACGACATCAATAGGTCACACATCATAGGCAAAGTGAGGAATGGCAAAGCTCAGATTATTTGTCGCTTGCGAAACTGGAAGCTCAAAAATCAAATTTTTCAGGCAAAAAGTAAGCTGAAGGATTCCAGACAGGGCATTTTTATATCGGAAGATTTAACAACACATCGTCAGGCTCTGATTAAAAGTCTAGGCAAGGCCAGAAAAGAAAAAAACATTCACTCATATTGGACAAATGACGGACGTGTATTCTATAAACGAGAGCAGAATTCGCCCAAAGTCCTTGTCAAGACCTTCAGTGACATATCCGACCTTGTACCAGAAGGCCATTGAGTGACTGTCATCGTTTACACAGCCAAACATTACATAAAGTGACTTTCCGGAAAAAAAACCCTCACAAATATGTAAATAATAAATCAATACTTTAATGATATATATATATATAATTTATGTATTCATGTACATGTATATATACAAATATACGTATCAATATGCAAAATTAATATTACTTGCCATTCCGTGTACTGACCTTAAACATACCATTTAGTACTGTATTTATTGCTGTACTCTATACATAATGTATAATGTATATACATAGTGTATAAGGAGTCCGTACTACTATGGTTGGTACATATTCTTGTATATAAACATATCTATATATAGTTGGATATAGTTCATGTTTATTTTAATATACATTTATTGAACACATCGAAATTGATAGTCAGAGACATATATCTGTATATGACACAAATGTATGTGTTACGTACATATATTATTGACAATTTAATGAACATATTGTATATAACAACCAATCCCATTTCATGTTTTCCAAATTAGAAAAATAATGAAGCCATGTTTACTTTTTCTTTCATTTTTCATTCTACTGTTCTGCTTTTATTTCTTCTTTCGACCCCCTCTCTATTTACCTAGCTACCTTGACCTTATATCGACAACCTGGCACGTGCAGTCAGTCATGCGTATAAATAAAGAAATTCTTCTTTACGATGGGTGTTACATGTATGCGTTTTCATTGAGTACTCCCGGGAGAAATCCTGTGCAATATGCTATTTTTGATAACGGTTAGTCGGTGATTTGTCAGTAATATCGCACAGGATTTCAATCGGGTGCTTTTATAACAAAGCATATGGAGGACTGTTTTTTTTAAAAGTACGTTGTGTGATATAGTTAAATGCTGACTATTTTTTCAATGAATATACACTGTTTACAAACCTTTTATTAACTGCTGTTAAAGCAGGCGTATGTTCTCTCATGCTGATGTGCTTACAGTGACACTTTCAAAACATAATTTTTTGTTTTATTTTGCTATTATTACTTGTATTGGATATGGATGTGGAAACTAATCCGGGTCGTCAGTAAATGAATTATCTATTTTCCATTTAAATGTAAGAAGTGTAAGAAATAAAATAGAATATATTGAAAACCTTACAAATGAATTTAATATTTTATGTATGACTGAAACACATTTGGATATGAATGTACCTACTACTGAGTTAATTCTACCTGGTTTTGCCGAACCGTTTAGAAAAGACAGAAATTTCTCTGGCGGTGGTATCTTAGTATATTGTTCTAATTCTTTAAAATGTGTCCGAAGGAATGATCTGGAATTTCTGGACGGGGAAGTGATTTGGATACAGATTGATTTACAATACTACTTTATTAATATGTATAGTTTATAGACCAGAAAATTCACGTCATCCTTTTTGGGAAAATTTTAAGTATTCTGTTGAAAAGGCATTAGATATTACTTCAAATGTTGTTATTGTTGGCGATATAAATGTAGATATGCTAACACTATCTACAAATCATATTTTACATCAAATTATGTTGGAAATGGACTTAACAAATGTTATTGATGAGCCGACTAGGAGAGGTACAACCAGAAATAGTTGATCCAATCTTATTAACCGATCCTGATAAATGTACAGATTCATATGTTATTCCAATTGACCGTAATATTAGCGATCATGATGGATGTGTTGTACTTTTGTCTATACCTGTGAATCTATCTTGTACATACAGTCGAGAAGTTTGGGCCTATAAACATGCTGATTTTAATAAATTAAATTATTTGATAGATACTTTTGATTGGGCTGTTTTCTTTCAAAGTTTTATATCTGTTAATGAAGCATGTGTTGAATTTACCGGGCAGTTTTTGACGTTTGCTAAAGAATGTATACCTAAGAGAATAGTTCATATAAGGCCTGATGATAAATTATGGATGAATTCGGAATTAAGAAAAGCTATTCAGTTACGAGACCGTCTACATAATGCCGTCAAACATGTGAAGTCCATTTCAAACTTAGAGAAATTTAAAAGACAAAGAAATGTGGTCAATAACATGAAAAAATATGCCAAAGAAATGTTTTATAATAGTGTTGGTGACATTATAGATAATCTGAATACCAGTGATCCTAAGTCGTATTGGAGACTAGTTCGCAAATTATTAAAACATTCTGGTTCTCAAGAGGTTATTCCACCACTAGTTAATCCTGATAACGGAAATATTGAATATGAAGATGATAAAAAAGCAAATATTCTTAATAATTATTTTAGTTCTATCTCCAGAATTAGCGATATTGGCAATGCTTTGCCTCGCTTTGATTCCAGAAATGCTTCTGTACTTGAGTCTATTAATGTTGAAAGTGACGAAATATGTGATATTCTGAAGATTCTGAAATTAGGAAAAGCATCTGGTCATGATACTATAAGTCATCACATGCTAAAATTTACAGCGAGTTCCGTATGCAAGCCATTAACAATCCTTTTCAATATGTCACTTGATCATAAGATATTTCCGGAAAAGTGAAAAACAGGCATTATTTTACCTCTGTTCAAAAAGGGCGATAGGCATTTGGTGTCGAATTATCGACCAATTACTTTGTTGTCTTGCATAGGTAAAGTCTTTGAAAGAGTTGTTTTTAAATATATCTGTAATTTTTTATTGATCATTCGTTATTTTATGAAAAACAATCTGGTTTTATGACTCATCATTCAACTGTTCACCAATTAATAGAAATGTATCATAGCATATGTTGTTCACTGGAAGAAAAAAACATACTTGTTTAATATTCTGCGATATATCGAAAGCCTTTGACAGAGTTTGGCATAAAGGTTTATTACATAAATTACATGGTTATGGCATTAGAGGTAGTTTATTACAGTGGTTAGAAAATTACATTTCGAACAGACAACAACAGGTTCTAGTAAAAAACGCATATTCCAAAATAAGTTATACGAATGCTGGTGTTCCACAAGGAAGTGTCTTAGGTCCTCTATTATTTTTGATATATGTAAATGATATTGTTGATAATTTGAATAGTATTTCACGCTTATTTGCTGATGATACCTCTTTGATGTATTCTTCATCGTCTTATGTTGATATTGAAAGGTCTGTTAATAGAGATTTGGAAAAACTTGATAAATGGTCTAGAGATTGGCTCACCAAGTTCAATCCACAGAAAACTGATGTTTTATTAATATCAAATTCAAGAAATATTTTGCCCTTACAACTTACTTTTGGTCATGAAACCCTAAATTGTGTTAAAAGTCATAAACATTTAGGCGTGGTATTTAGTGCAGATGCAAAATGGTCGTTACATATATCCGAAATTCAAAAAACATGTATGAAAAAGGTATCAGTACTTCGGAAGTTTAAGTTTTTATTGAGCAAGAAAACTTTGTTAAGAATATACAAAGTATTTATTTTACCTGTATTAGAGTATGCCTGTGAAGTTTGGGATGGTTGCTCTTTAGCAGATCTCACCAAACTTGAACACGTTCAGTTGGAAGCAGCTAGAATCATAACGGGCCTGCCCTCATTTTCTAGTAAACGGTCATTATATCATGAATCTCAACTTAAACCTCTGTCTGATAGAAGAAAACTTAAGAAACTTTCACTGATGTATAAAATCCGCAATAAACGAACACCCTCTTATCTAACTAACCTTCTATCTCCTAAAGTACACGAACGGAATACCTATCAAGTGAGAAACATTGAAAATTACACTGTTCCCAATTTCCGACTGTCTAGTTCATTTCAGTCTTTTATTCCGTCTTCTATTAGACTATGGAATGAATTACCTAACAGTGTTAGAGAACAGCCATCCATAAACAGTTTTAAATCATTGATTCAGTATAATGAAAATGACTTGTTACCTAAATATTTTGATGTTGGAAATCGTAAACTGAATATTTTACATACACGATTGCGTCATTCTTGTAGTATTTTAAAATATGATTTGTATAGAGTTAATATTGTAAGTGATCCTACATGTGCATGTGGTAATAGATGTGAAAATGTAATACATTATTTTTTTGATTGTGTGCTGTATACACAACAACGACAAATCATGTTTGACAGTATCACACGTTACTGTAACGTTTCTCTTAATGTTATTCTTTCTGGTTCTCCAAACCTGTCTGATGAAGATAATGAAAGTATTTTTCTTGTCGTTCAAACATACATAAAAAATAGTAAAAGATTTTAAGATCAGTAGCAATTTTGTATAATATATCAAATCTTACTCCATTTAGTCTCTACCGTTCCCTTTTCTTCCTTTCTCCCCCATTCTTTTCTTCACTTATTTTCTATACTCATATATATATACTTTTGTAAATGTTATTGTTATTGTTGTCATGCCATTTGTGTATAATGAAATCTGATGGAGAAGGCGTTTTTAAGTTGCGATAACTTGTGCCCAATCCTTTTTGTTGATTGACAAATAAAATATGTTTAAATAAAAAAAAAAGAAAAAAACTTCTCCAGAAATAAGAGTAACAAAAGACATAGCAGTAACAAATGATAATTTAAAATCCAAGAGGGCTGCCTGCAACCATTTTGTTTTTCCTATTAGTCATGAAACATCAACCAGTCTGTCAGTTCATCAATTGGTCTATGTGTAACTTTATCTATTGCATATCTTCTACTTGCATTAATAGTGACCATGCTGCTTCACCCACCCAAGTGCCTCCATATGGGGTCTGTTTAATTTGTGATGCAGAGTGAGCTGTACACATTTGTGTATTTCACATTTCATGATGCTGAACTCTTTGTCTTGCTGCACCATTGGAGCCAATACCATTTAATGCTGGATAATCATAAATGTTATAAGTTATTCCTTTGTGGCAATGCCACACCAAAGGGGAGCTCACTCTTCTTTTTTAAGAATCATTCCCAAGTCACATGGACTAATCATACTTCCTTGGTGGGCTATTTAAATTCCCCAGTGTCTGTGGTCCATCTGTCCATCCATCCATAAATAATGTTCATCGCTATATCTTGGATTTTTCTCAAATTTCCTTGGTCCCTAGTTGTACCCATTTGATTTTGGGACTGATCAGAAAAACAAAATGGCTGAGAGGCAGCCATCTCAGATTTTTTCAATGAAGTTTGTTATCACTATTTCTTGAAAAATACTTTTTTTTTTTCAAATGTAGGTTTCCCTTGGTTCCTAGCTGTGCCCTAGGAAAGTTTGTTATTGATTTTTCTTGAGAAATATTGCATAGATCTTTATGATAATTTATGATAATTTCACGTATTCATTCCTCTTGGGACCTCGTTGTGCCTGACCAATTGTGGGACCTATTCAAAAAATAAAATAACAAACAGGCAGTCATCTTGGATTTCGCAAAGTAAGTTTGTTATCCCTATTTCTTAAGAGGTACTGAATGGATCTCTCAAATTTCATATGAAAGTTTCCCTATGTCTCTAGTTGTCCCCCTTTGATTGTGGGACTGATCGGGGAAAAACATAATGGCTGAGAGGCAGCTGTCTTGGATTTTCACTTTGAAAGTTTGTTATCACTATTTCTAGAGAATTTAGACATAGATCATTTTCAAATTTTAAGTGTTGGGACCCCTTGGTCCCTGGTTGCTCCCGTTTGATATTTGGTCTGATCAGAACAACAAAATGGTCGAAATGTGGCCAGCTTTGATTATGACTTTGGATATTTATTATCGTTATTTCTTGATAACTACAACATCAATTTTTTCTCACATTTCATGTGTATGTTTCCCTTGTTGTGCCCGTGTGATCTTGGTACTGATCAGAAAAAAAAAAAAAATGGCTTCCAGGCAACCATTTTGGATTTGGAAGGTAAAGATTATCATCACTATTTCCGCAAAGGAATGTTAAGATTTTTCATTATTAAGAGCAAAAACAGAAAAGAGAGAAGAAAAGAAAGGAAAAGATCCAGCTTTGAATGAGCAAGTAAGGATCGAACTAAGGTGGGTGCCAAGATCTCTTTTTGAAAGATTGAATCACTATAGAATGTCAGGTAATCTTGTGATTGCACAGTTGATGATCTTTGATCAAATGTCCTGGATAGTGGTGTCGACCCTGAAGCAAATCCTAGCAACATCAAAATGGCTCCTCAAAATTACACAGGAACTGTTCTAAACAACTTCCATGTCAACCATAAATAATTCACACTACAACTTCAGTGTAAAACATACTTTATTTTCTCTTAAAATGATGCCAAGATTTAAAATGGCTACTAGAGTGTTGAACTTTTAATCCATAGCTACCTAATGGTCATACAGTTCTCACCTGGTTTTCTTTATGTAAACTGTATCAAGGAAGTAATAACTGAACCTGTTTAAGTATAGCAACAGTTGTTATGACTAGCAACCCCAAGTTGTTAATTATACATTAATGTTAATGACCGCAATTTATAAAAAAAAAAAAAAAAAACCAACAAAAATCGTGTTATTGAATACATTATTGAAAAACATTTGAAAATGATTCCTGAAATATTGCAGTTCATATATTGGTTAACTTTAGTTTTATAAAAAGAACTGACTTGTCAATTCATTATGATTTCCCTCAATGAATTGAAGCCTTAATCAGACTACCCACTGTTTAAACGTAGATTACGACAAAATAGCACATCAACACTTGCTTCAAATAACTGTAGTACTAAAACATCATTACCTTGGAGAGTCTGAGGTAGTGTTACCCGTTAATTCAAATAAATAAGTGTATTCGAAACTGAATATGTTTGTTATTGTTATAATGCAGTACACAATTACTGCAAAAGTATAAATGGGAAGAATTTGAAACGTTTAAAACTTACATTTTTACATAGAATCTAGTCTTTAATTATTAGGCCTTGTTTGGTAGCAAGAAGATCTCTACATAAGAGAGGCAGAAATGTTCTTCATAAATACAATGTATCATGATGTTTTCTGACAGCATCTTAATATTTTCTGTTATTTAAAGTATTGCTGCCTGTAGACTGTGGTAATAAAAACGATGTTATAAAGACGGCATAAACTTACTAAAAATAGATATTTTGAAAACAAGATTATAACAGCAAACCATAGGTCATTTCATGGCTTCCACAGACAATCTTGCATCATTTTTGCATCAGGGTTATGGTAACACTTCAATGTGAACCACAAGTTTTTAAGACTTAGTCATAAAAAATGCCTCTGTTAGTGTCATGCGAGACCCATTATTTCCAGATTTTGAGGGCAGGGAGTTTATCTATAAAGGGAGTATCTGTATAAGCATTCAGGAGTCAAGCTACACAGCTTTCAGTATCATAACCTTTAGAGTTTCAGCATTTTTGTCTATGCTATATCCCACATTAGAAAATTTTACTTTGAGTGGCAGAATGGAAGTCTTATCTTATATTAATTGTTAAACACAGAATATGCTGAGGTAGCTTGCATGGTGAATTCTTGCAGAAAAAAACCTGTTATATCATTTTTCTACATAGTGTTTCTCCAAACTGCAAAATTCATTATATGCAGAAATATCACAGTCAGATTATCTGGATGATGGTCCAAACTGAACATTTTGAATTGCAGCAAACTCCACTCTTGCAAATATTCAAAATTTAACTCTTTGGGTTAGCTAGGTACTCCACAGGACTTGAAACCCATTTACAGGCAAGAACAGCAGCACTTCTAAATCTGGTACCATGGTTTTAGATTTCAATAATTTGGGATGTCTTTTAGACATCCATTATAATGTTTTTTGTTATGTTTAGCATTTAAAATTTTTGATGTCTTCAACGTCTCAAAAATAACCCAAGAAGAATCAAAGCCACATTTCTCCGATCTGTTCGGACACGTCCAGTAATTTCCATGCAGCTCTTGGACTATACTCCTCTTGATCCCTACACAAAGCCCACACATATGTGATCCGGTTAACTTTGTCCTGAAACAAAAGCAACCATTAAACACATTGGGATTCAGTTTCATAATTTATTTTGTATCATCTGAAACAACTGAATGATACACTACCATACTGAGAGAAATCACATCAGTGTTGCTCAAAGTTTTATATTGGAAGAGCGTTTAACTGAAGATTATAAAAGAAGATCTAATGTTTCAAATCAATTGAGGAATTGGACAATTTTGAAACTACTTCAAACTTTATTGATTCAAATTTTTCAAATTTAGAGATTTTATCAGGTATATTTCGGTGTAAAATTTCAACTGATATTTAAGCACTTACTGGATCTCCATCTACAATCTTTCCCTTCACATCACGGACAACCCGTATCTCTTGCGAGCGGAAGGTAATGATAAGCACTGGGCCCTGTTCCATCATTTTCGCACCAACAATCTGTACAATCAGAGAACAAGTACATTTATACAGAGGAATTTTAAACTTTATATTGGGGATATGGAACAATGCTGCTTGGAACCAAGGGAAACATACTAATGAACTTTGAGAATGATCAAACAATATTTTGTGAAGAAAAAGTGATAATATGAATTGGTTATTGAAAGACAGATCCCAGACAAAGGGTGATTTGAATAGTAAACCATCTGATCACAGCGAGCTAAAAATCTTAATGTTAATGTACATATGATATCACCACCTGAAACATGGCAGGAATGACAAAGTCTATATAAATACCTCAATGTTATTGATGTCCAGGACTTTGTGGTCTAATTTAAGGCCCACAGCCTGCCTTTGTTTAGTAGTATGCGCTAACGTGTTAAAAGCCTGGAAAAAATATTCAGTAATTACTGTAGTATAGTTGTTTAGCTACTGTATCGCTGGTAATATTCATGTGTCAAGATTTATGTGATTTTCATTTAAAACATTCATATTACATCTTAACAAAGTAACAATCTTGATGTAAAAGGACTTTAGAATAAAAAGCCACATACAAAATTACCATGTTACTCTGTGTCTTTATTACTCTATTGATCTGAAAATAAGTCCCCTTCTTCATTTTTGCAGAATCATCAATGTTAAAAAAGTAAACTAAAACAAGTTCACAAACAAGCCCTTCCTAAACTTTAATACTGAACTTTAACACAAGGGTAAGGGACTTATTTGAGGATAAATGTAATATTAGCAAATATATTTCAGTCACGGGAAACATTGGTAGAACAACTACTTTAATCTAATTCAGTATTTACATGTGAATAAATACATGAATATTAAACAAAAAAACAATGATTTTGTTCTTAATAGAATTCACTTTGACTTGTATAGCTAATGTTACCAATGGTGAACCCATTCCTTACATATGCTTAGTACTTACCCCTTCAAAGCACCAATCTTTTAAGATTTCAAGGTTACCACTAAGAGTTGCCTAAAATGAAATTGAATTTTAACATCAGTAGAAATACAAAAGAAACGCAGAAGCATGAACATGCAGCCAGACATAAATAAAGAGGCTTGCCACCTTTCTCTGTCTTCAACCTCACAAAAAAAACCTTATATTTTCCAACATTGACTGAAAATCAGACTAATGAAACCTAATCCTTTTACACATTTCAAGAATTTACTGTTATGAGAAAATCAGTAAAGTAATACAGAAGATTTTTTTTCTACTTGTTGAGATATGTCTATCTGTTTTTGTCAAAACTCCTTGGAAAAGGATGCTGTGCTCAAAATCCCTTGTAATTTGGTACAATTATCAGAGGAAATGTACATAGAACAACATGTGCTTACAAAGTACCATGTTGCAACAAAATTCTTAAGTAGGACATTAAAACTGTACTGTGTAAGGCATGTGCTAATTGCATGCACACTTTGTAAAATACTTTATATCTTCCAACAAGTTATAACCTCTTCAGTAAATGATAAATTTTGTGATTGTATCACTGTGAAAAAGAGAATTCAAGAAACTGAAATCTTTTACATAAATGTATAAAGAAATCAAAGAAGAATTTCTCAAAAACCAGAACATCATTCTAGTCATGTGTGCCGAAGGGGGATAACTGTGCATCATCCTGGTCATGTATGCAAATGGAGGATAATTATGCATAATTCTGTTTTTACATAGTATACTTACTTCTAAGATGTTTGGAATGAAATCTAATTGACACATTTTGATGAAGGTTTCTTTGTCAAATGTTGGATCTATTTTACAGATTTCTGTTAAGACTTCAGACATTTCTGTTGTTGTAAACATACCACCTGAAATGATAAGGTAATGGGTCAGTAGGGGCAAACAGCAGATGCATTTACTTCAACCAATCAACAAAAGTTTCAGTGACCAATCTATTCAAGTCTTATCACAATTTATTAATTTTAAAGCATTCAGTTTATAATAAAACACAAGAAAATTTGATATTGTTACTGAGAAAGATGTTCATAAACTGAAGACTATCGGACATATTTCATACTGAGATTCCTGGAAACCTGACTATGCTTATGAAGCTTCTGTATAGCTAAATCATGAATGCTCATTTTCCAATGAGGTGTAATCGGCTGATAAACCCTCAACCTTGTAAATGTCCTGATAACTTATTGTAACTTAATCACAAAAAAACTTGGTAAACTATAGACAGTTTATTTATATAATTCCATCATCTGAAATATTTATTTAGTAAAATTCTGACTTTGACTTTCTTAACTGTCCAAGTAACAAATTTGATTATCTTGAATATTTTCAGAGTTTAACAACTACTAATTACATACTTAGTGAAATGCTGGTTTTGTTAATTTTCCAGTTTATGTCTAACTCAATCATATCAAGTACTCACCTAGTAAACTGCCTACTTTGTCTGTGAAAGTCCGTGTAACTCGTATCATCACATTATCACTTTCATCATATTTCATCTTAAGCTCAAACATTTCTACAAAAAACACATTACATTTAAATAAATATTGCAGAAAAAATACGTTTTATAAACATCTGAATAGATATTAATAATATTTACATTTACACTTCCAACACTTCTACAAACAAAATATCAAATTCAAATGAATGTTTTATAAGATTTTGAATGAAACTTTTACCTCAAATTATCATTTTCTATCTCTTTGTGTTACTGGTTGAAATAATTTCTTATTACGTAGTGACCTCTATTCCTTGAGCTACAGTATACTGGTTTGGGCTATTTCATGGTGATTAAATTTCCTGCACGTCTATCCATTGGAATCTGTATAAACTAGTAAATAACAGATTTCCTGACGTTTTGACTTATATTGATTGTTTGCTGGGTATTTGATTTTGGGTTATCACTGATAATTGTGACTATTGTGAAATTAAATCACTAACAAATATTAGAAAATATACAGTATTTACACATCATTGGGCACAATTTTCCTACATATCTGATTGGTTCTATCTTCAAGCATGAATGACCATTTCTTTTTTAGTTATGATATAGAGACTGTTATCATATACAATGCTAAAATGTAAATGTCCGATGTTGAACATTGGTGAGATTTCCTTTTTATTATCACTAACATTTTGATACAACTTTTTATATAATCTGACCACTATTGCTCATAAAATGACACACTTGTTCGATATACATGCATCATTATTTCACTTTACATCAATATAGCATGAAATCAATGTCATGAAAAGTAAATTGTTGGCAATAATGAATGAAAAAAGTAAAATTCTCTTTAGATTTTTATATCTGTTCTTCCAATTTTGTTTTTTCAAATATTCTAGATAAAGAATATTATGGCCGCTTCTAATTTTTAGGTTCTACTTGCCTTGAAATCACTCCATAGAAAAAATGATACTGAAAGAGAAGCATATTGACCTCTAACAAATGAACTTTGAACTTCTATATTCTTTTGATTTTGACAAAAAAAGGCAGATGAATATATACTGTTGTTCTGATACTCCGCCTTGTACTTACTGTTAATATACTGATTATTATCCTTGAAATTCGTCCAACTTTGATAGAATTTGGAATCTTTGTGTAGTACAATACCAGTGTCTTCTCTGTAAACAAAATGTTGTTATAACAGTGTTTACAGGTTTGAAACAACCCAATATATAATGACATATCTGATAATTGGAAAAAAATCTTGCCTATATTTGTGTGACATCTCTGAAACTTGCAGAATTTGATATATATTGGTAGAAACAAGTATCTATTTAACACATAGTCTGTATCAATTATTTTTTGTTAGTTCTGAATTGGAGTGCTCTTACAAACAAATGATTAAGGTTGTAAGTATCACCTGTGATGTTAAAAAATCACACTTTTTCTTTTATTGAAAATGAAAAGACAACATCACATTTTTTTTTCCAAAAATGAAAACTCTGCAAATGAAGTCAAAATTCATTACAAGGTATACAGAATGATAATATTTTACTTTCAGTGATTCTGATAAGGTAGAGCTTTGTCACCTAAACAAGAAATGATTATGTAATTAATAAATCACTCACTCGTTAACTTCCACTTCGTCTTTCCTCCTAAAGCTTACAGAATCTTCAGATCGCATTCGAAGAACCTCTGAAAAAGACAAACAAAATACCTTAATTTGACCTGAAACTGATTTCTGCATATCGAAAGCCTCATTGGCAATACTTCTACTCTATCTACTGAAATATAAACTGCAATGACTTTTAGGACACAGATTTGTCAGCTACTGATTAAATTTTGATACTTTTCTTTTTCACAAGAACCTTTTTCTACATTCTGCACTGTAACTACCATATTTTTAAAATTCTGGTTTGTCTCAGCCTTCCTTTTCCAAAAGAATGAACATGCAACTTACGGCCAAAAGTGAGGCAGTGTTAAGGGAGACATTGACAAATAAGCGGTGTTCTATAGAAGAAAAAAGATCAAATACCAAATTCAACTGCCTCTTCCAGATCAATAGGGACAGTCAGTACAATTCTTACACTCTACCTGCAGGGAACCTTGTGGGTAAAATTCTTACACTCTACCTGCAGGGAACCTTGTGGGTACAATTCTTACACTCTACCTGCAGGGAACCTTGTGGGTACAATTCTTACACTCTACCTGTAGGGAACCTTGTGGATACAATTGTAACACCCTACCTGTAGGGAACCTTGTGGGTACAATTCTTACACTCTACCTGCAGGGAACCTTGTGGGTACAATTCTAACATCCTACCTGTATGGAACCTTGTGGGTACAATTCTTACACCCTACCTGTAGGGAACCTTGTGGATACAATTGTAACACCCTACCTGTAGGGAACCTTGTGGGTACAATTCTTACACTCTACCTGTAGGGAACCTTGTGGATACAATTCTAACATCCTACCTGTAGGGAACCTTGTTGATACAATTCTAACATCCTACCTGCAGGGAACCTTGTGGATACAATTCTTACACTCTACCTGTAGGGAACCTTGTGGATACAATTCTAACATCCTACCTGTAGGGAACCTTGTGGATACAATTCTAACATCCTACCTGTAGGGAACCTTGTGGATACAATTCTTACACTCTACCTGTAAGGAACTTTGTGGATACAATTCTAACATCCTACCTGTAGGGAACTTTGTGGATACAATTCTAACACCCTACCTGGAGGGAACTTTGTGGGTACAATTCTTACACTCTAGTTGTAAGGAACTTTGTGGGTACAATTCTTACACTCTACCTGTAGGGAACCTTGTGGGTACAATTCTTACACTCTACCTGTAAGGAACTTTGTGGGTACAATTCTTACACTCTACCTGTAGGGAACCTACTGGATACAATTCTAACATCCTACCTGTAGGGAACCTTGTGGATACAATTCTTACACTCTACCTGTAGGGAACCTTGTGGATACAATTCTAACATCCTACCTGTAGGGAACCTTGTTGATACAATTCTAACATCCTACCTGCAGGGAACCTTGTGGATACAATTCTTACACTCTACCTGTAGGGAACCTTGTGGATACAATTCTAACATCCTACCTGTAGGGAACCTTGTGGATACAATTCTTACACTCTAACTGTAGGGAACCTTGTGGATACAATTCTAACATCCTACCTGTAGGGAACCTTGTTGATACAATTCTAACATCCTACCTGTAGGGAACCTTGTGGATACAATTCTAACATCCTACCTGTAGGGAACCTTTTGGATACAATTCTTACACTCTACCTGTAGGGAACCTTGTGGATACAATTCTAACACCCTACCTGTAGGGAACCTTGTGGGTACAATTCTTACACTCTACCTGCAGGGAACCTTGTGGGTAAAATTCTTACACTCTACCTGCAGGGAACCTTGTGGGTACAATTCTTACACTCTACCTGCAGGGAACCTTGTGGGTACAATTCTTACACTCTACCTGTAGGGAACCTTGTGGATACAATTGTAACACCCTACCTGTAGGGAACCTTGTGGGTACAATTCTTACACTCTACCTGCAGGGAACCTTGTGGGTACAATTCTAACATCCTACCTGTAGGGAACCTTGTGGGTACAATTCTTACACCCTACCTGTAGGGAACCTTGTGGATACAATTGTAACACCCTACCTGTAGGGAACCTTGTGGGTACAATTCTTACACTCTACCTGTAGGGAACCTTGTGGATACAATTCTAACATCCTACCTGTAGGGAACCTTGTTGATACAATTCTAACATCCTACCTGCAGGGAACCTTGTGGATACAATTCTTACACTCTACCTGTAGGGAACCTTGTGGATACAATTCTAACATCCTACCTGTAGGGAACCTTGTGGATACAATTCTAACATCCTACCTGTAGGGAACCTTGTGGATACAATTCTTACACTCTACCTGTAAGGAACTTTGTGGATACAATTCTAACATCCTACCTGTAGGGAACTTTGTGGATACAATTCTAACACCCTACCTGGAGGGAACTTTGTGGGTACAATTCTTACACTCTAGTTGTAAGGAACTTTGTGGGTACAATTCTTACACTCTACCTGTAGGGAACCTTGTGGGTACAATTCTTACACTCTACCTGTAAGGAACTTTGTGGGTACAATTCTTACACTCTACCTGTAGGGAACCTACTGGATACAATTCTAACATCCTACCTGTAGGGAACCTTGTGGATACAATTCTTACACTCTACCTGTAGGGAACCTTGTGGATACAATTCTAACATCCTACCTGTAGGGAACCTTGTTGATACAATTCTAACATCCTACCTGCAGGGAACCTTGTGGATACAATTCTTACACTCTACCTGTAGGGAACCTTGTGGATACAATTCTAACATCCTACCTGTAGGGAACCTTGTGGATACAATTCTTACACTCTACCTGTAGGGAACCTTGTGGATACAATTCTAACATCCTACCTGTAGGGAACCTTGTGGATACAATTCTAACATCCTACCTGTAGGGAACCTTTTGGATACAATTCTTACACTCTACCTGTAGGGAACCTTGTGGATACAATTCTAACACCCTACCTGTAGGGAACCTTGTGGGTACAATTCTAACATCCTACCTGTAGGGAACTTTGTTGGTACAATTCTTACACTCTACCTGTAGGGAACCTTGTGGATACAATTCTAACATCCTACCTGTAGGGAACCTTTTGGATACAATTCTAACACCCTACCTGTAGGGAACCTTGTGGATACAATTCTAACACCCTATTTGCAGGGAACCTTGTGGACAAATTCTTACACTCTACCTGTAGGGAACCTTGCGGATTTAGAATCCCCATATTTATGTATAAAAGACTTTGGACTTACCTGGTCTTTTGTAAGACTGTGCTCTTGTTGTATCTATGTCTTTTAATTCATTCTTCACAGCCTATATCAGATTAAACCAATAAAAGGAATCAATACACTGGTAAACATGATGACATGACACAATACATTCGGAGTCGATACTTAATTCTCAGTTTGATAGGCATCATTTCTTTACAATAGATACTCATCATAAAGGCTTTGAAATATTCTACATGTAGTGACCTTTGTCAGCTGCATTTAAAGTACTTGTTGTAATTTTACAAGAAAACTCATAAATATCACAAGTATTTTTTATTGCGGTGCTAACTCTAAAATATCTAGCCGAAGGAGACTTCAGAAATACAGAATCTAAGAATTTAAACACATGATGGTCCTTACTTTTCCAGAATCATTGTATATAATTATTATATCATTATATAATTTCTAGTCCCTTTCTTGAAACCCTTAATTCCCAAATTAGGAGTTTTCACTCTTTGAAATTGAAATTGAATTTGACTTACCTCTGATATTGTTTGTATAGGCTTTGATTGACCTATTTGTTGACTACCCTTTGACACACCTTTTGAAACAGTTTCTGCCAAGTTACCAGCAGACTTCAATGTTTCTTTCGTGAATTCCTTTCCTTTTTTTGCCACTTCATGTTCAGACAATTCATGCAATGTCTACAATAATGGAAATAATACAAAGGATGATCAAGATTCAGTCTTAATCAGCATAAAAAAATATACATCATTGACATCAGAATTATGATATCCTCTCCATTCGCTAGACAAACTCAGTTAATTGGAAAAGTATATTTTAATATTTGACAATGCACATTACAAACTATTTTGAACAGTTCTCACTAGATAAGATGAAATATCATACTATATATTTGACAAGAGAAATGTATTTCCTAATGTTTGCTATGTATACATACTGAAGCATATGAACAATAGCTCCATAAAAAACCTCCATTTCCAATATTGTTCAAAATTCTATCAACCTATACAAGAGCTAGCATTCTGGCAATACCTTAAACAGGTTTCATAAGGACCAATCTAGACTGAGGGGGAATATACTCTTTTATGAAAAGGTGAAATATTTTCTATATCAAGAAGTAATTTTTCTGTTCTAATTTTAGTTTAAATACCTGAAGAGACATTAAACAATGATAGGTAAAGTAGTTGTCATAGATTTATCCAGGTCATGAACATGTGGTCCCATAATTTCCCACTAAACTACATAGAGCCATGCCCAAATGACAAACACTGAGCAGATATTCCAACAAGCTCATTTTCTAGCATAATTTGGAATTAACCACCACTATGCAACCTTGCAAGACTTGTTCTAAACCTACTAAAAACCAAACTCTCATGAGATTGGCAGCCCTTAACAAAATATGCATGATACTGTGATTGTTGGACAAAAGTCTTCATTGACAGAATGTAAGAACCCTTCAGACTACCTATTCAGTAAAATTCACATCTGACAACCAAACTTATGATACATTGTAATCCTGTCTACTCACACCACTCAGCTTGTCTTTGACCTCATCAAACTTCTTCCCAAATTCTTCGCCTGTTTCTTTCTGGATGTTAATCTAAAAATGAATCACAAAATTAGAATAGATTATCTGGTCTACATTTTCAGTGACTATAATCAATGTTTCATTAACTATAATGTTAGACCATTATCATTGTATCCTTACATGTATATAGTATTAATTAATTCTATTGCAGTTCAACATCAGAACTCAAGCTTTGTCAAATAGGAACTGTCACACAAGCATGTTTATTGTTGATAATACATATTGAATTCTATATCCATCTTGTTTTTATCATCATTACCTAATTGTAAGGCACCTGTGTTGGGCAGAAATGTATCAGGAGTAGATGTGCACAAGGTGAGCTGTTTACGATAGCATACTTTGTTTACTTGGCTTGTATACCTGATATGGTTTTAACGCTATTTTAATGCATGTGAAACAGGCACATCAGACAGACTGTAAGCTCCAGTCAGCCGTGACCATAGTTTATTATTCAAGTGAAAGAAGTTATATCTATGTTGTATTCTTGTTAACTTCATGAAGTGTGTATGTACTACTATTGTATATGGGTTGTAAACACATACTTGATTGTTAAATATGTAATTATGTATCCTGTATCGTGCATTTAACATATTTATTAAAGCATGGAAGCACTGATCTATTGTCACAGTGTTGAACGTATGTATGGATTCTCTTTATTTCTGGACTCTTTCTGTTGGACATAAACTTTACTGGAATAGCCATTGGTCATTGCAATTATGAAACTTTACTTTATACTTAACTGGAAGAGTCCTAAGTCACTTTCATTATAAAATAGGAAATTAATTTCATACTTTACTGGAATAACCTGTAGTCATTGTCATTATGAAATATGACTTAATTTTATACTTTACTGGAATAACCTGTAGTCATTGTCATTATGAAATATGACTTAATTTTATACTTTACTGGAATAACATATAGTCATTGTCATTATGAAATATGACTTAATTTTATACTTTACTGGAATAACCTATAGTCATTGTCATTATGAAATATGACTTAATTTTATACTTTACTGGAATAACCTGTAGTCATTGTCATTATGAAATATGACTTAATTTTATACTTTACTGGAATAACCTATAGTCATTGTCATTATGAAATATGACTTAATTTTATACTTTACTGGAATAGTCCTAAGTCACTTTCATTATGAAATAGGAAATCAATTTCATGGCTCATGATTATCAGTAGTTTCTTCTGAGGCATGTAGATCCAGTTAACTTGAGATAATAAGCTTAATCACTAATCATTGATTAGTGCTCAATTAGCATTGTACCTAATGTCTATTATACTTACGTATTTTTCTTTTGCCTTTTGCAGTGCATCTGATTCTTCTAACTTCTTTGTTTCTTCTCTAAATTTTTTCAAGTTTTTCTGTAAACAATGTGAACAAATGACAAATTGATTCAAATAATTATGATGTATTCTAGAAATCTTGGAATATGAGAATTTCAAGTATAAATGTCTTGTTCCAAAAACTTCTACCGATGGAAATTAACAATTACAAACCTTCATCTCTTGATCTTTCTGAAAACCTTCTTTTATTTCATTCCAGACATTTTTGAAAAAGTTTGGTGGTTGACCAGACATATGTCGAACCTATAAAAGAAAAACAAAATGAATGCAAAGTACATTCAAACAAAAAATTCTCTCACAATCAAGAGTTGTCAAAATTTATTTCTTCAAAAGATCACACTTTTACTTTCTCATCCACATTAAACTAAAAACCATCACAAGGACAGTCATTCAGATCCCCCACCAAAGGAGCCTAGTCACTGATATTATTTAATAGGATGTTAAGAGGAAATAGTAAATATGAAAGATAGAATGGAAGTGATGATTAAAGTCTTATTACAAAAGGTTTTGGAGATAAGTTTTAGAAATGCTGGAATCAATTAATTTAATTTTCTGTCTTGAACTTAACCACAGCAAGGAAATATCAAAACTGAAAACTTTTCTATAGTATACTAGACCAACGAATTGATGTGGGTTTTAAGTTCGTGGAGATATTTGAATGTGTCTTGGATATGTGCACTGGAAATGCTTAAATCAGTGATTGTGACTTTTGGTTTCCATAACCATGAAAATATTGAAACGAAAAACAGCTCCATAGCAAAAGGTATCAGACCACTTGATTGACATATGTAGAAATTTTGTGACAATGTCTTCAATGATTTTGGACATATGTTCCAGAAATGCCACAGGATAGATGAATGAATGGAGAGCTGGAGGGAATCCCTTTGTGTATCATTGGAAGAGGGATAGTATTATAAAAATCTTTATACAGACGGTACCTTTTAAATAACAGAATTAATTAGCTATTGACTACATCTACTAATTATGTCCAGCTATGCTACAATATTTTATCATATTGCATCTGTATGTAATACAATTTTGAAAGGTTCGTGTTTTTTAATATTTACACATTCCTGATTTATCATTACCTGCTGTTGATGAGTTTGGCAGTTTATGTATCCAGCCCTTTGTACAGGTGTCTTTGTCTCTGATGATGCTAGACATAATTGACATTTGATGAGCTGAAATATCAAAAACAAAATGTGTTATATTGGCCATGTGCACACCTGAGTTTAGTTTAATGCTTAACATCCTAATAACAGCCAAGGTCAATTAAACAAGGCAGGGAAAACCACAAATTTGTATATACAAAGTGGCCTATTATATGCCAATAGGGGTAATAGATTTATTATTAAAAAAGTCCAAAATTAATTTACACTTACATGTAGTAAATTTTCAAAATTTTTTGCCTAAGTAGCATTTATTTAGTCTTGGAACATTATACAATTGCAAAAACATAATTCATTTGCATGTGAGAAAGTACTGAAAATATATGCATTATTTTTGGTCAATCTTACAGTAGCACAATCACTATAGCATTGACTACTACATCAAGTTTCTACTGGTACATAGCCAGAACTTTCAGTTACCGGTAACATCTTTTAGTAAACAATTATTTTCCTATCTTGTCATGAATTTGATGCACCTTTTAATAATGCAATGCCAAAAATACTGTTTAAATATGATTTCTGCTAATTATAGTAACAAATCCATACCCCAATTACATATATAATAGGCCATTTAATATATTACATGTATATTGCAAATTTGAGGTTTTCCCAGACTTGTTAAAGAATTCTATGTTTGGGTTGTGGATGAGAGCCACAGTTCCTAGATCTGACCTGCGGCCAATACCTGGCAACTACCCCAGGTACGTCTTGGAAACGCGACCCAGAGGTGGCTGGCTGATCAACACGGTCAGTCTATAGACTTAAGTCTGTGGTCTGACGCCTTGGCCACTCGATCGGCCACTGCCGCACCCGTTCATCAAATAGAAAAAAAAAGACATTCATATTTACTTTGAGATGGAATTTTGAAACAGCTTCATTTGCCGCAATTTTGAAACTTTACCATACAAAACGATTTTCTAAATCTGGAAGGGTGTAGCCAGGTGTTATATTAGCACTACATGTGCCTGCGACCCAATTTATTTTGATTCGTAAAGACTGGAAAGAAGAACCAAATAAGTGAATCAAGAGTTTGCCAATTAACGTTCAAGATTCCGTAAATATTGTTTTAAGAAAAGTTTGTTTTAACAACTGAATACTGGTTCCATAAACTGGTAATTTTAACCTTCTAGAACGTGTTCTATGAAGTTCGGTCACCTTGCCATTTCCATTGCATTCAAAAGGCAGAGTCATAGAAATTGGCAAAACAACTGTAAGCATTGAAATAATTAGCATTAACACTATGGAAATAAATGGTAAACCTGTTGTATTGCAGCTTTTTGTCGCGTCCCGGTTCGCAGAGCATGAAAAGCCATCTTGGAAAATGTTGCAACACATGTGTGAATTTTATCACAGCTTCCGGTTTTAGTTCCGGTGCGTTCGACAAAAAAGTTGTCAGTTATAATTACTTCAGAAATATCATAAAATGAGTTTCATAGGGGAATTACTGACACGAAATATTTTACACGTATTTTTATATTGATAATTTGGCATTATATATTTTATATATCTTATTAAATGCAAGAGTGAATACGTCTACTGCTTTGTAGAGGTCGACGCATGCGCTACTAAGTAAAACGAATTTGTTTGTTGCTGTAAGGTCAACTTAATAGCTGCTCCACAACGTTGTCACCATGACCTGCCTGCTTAAACACTTATCAAGACGAGCTATTTCCATGGTAATACGGTCAAAAAAGTAATAGATGACTGTTGTGATATATTTGCAGTGTGGATGCTGTATGGTTACTCAAACTAACTTGACATTTCTACTTTCACTTTTCCTTCAATTGGTTAAGTTCGATTTCGTTTGTAAGAAATATATTTTGATGTTACACATTTTGATGATAATCAACAAGGGATGATACGGGTATACCTCGTATGAAACTGATAACTGGTAAAAACAAAACCTGTCGCATGTGTGCAGTACATGTGCATGTACATGCAAGTATATATGTATGTTAGAGTTATCATAGCATTAGACCCAAGGGGCCTGTATCATTCACCTGCTAATTTACCGTTCAACAATTTAATAAAGAATTCAAATATGACAAATAATTTCGGATGTAATTTCCATATTAACTCTCTGCCTTGTGGTCAAACAGAAGTGAGATTCATTATTCATTAAAAAATATTCACACAATATATTTACACAATATCCTTGTACAGAAGAAGGTTTATTAAGAACTTACAATTTCCCGATTGGGCCTACCCCACTTGGCTTTTGGGGTACAGGTGCACTATTTATACAGAACTGATTCCCCCTACCCATGGATACTTAACACCAAATTTTGGCTAAATCCAATCATTCCTACAGGAGGAGTAGAATTTTAAATAATTTGTGCTTTTTCCTCTATTGGACCCTGCCTTCCCTTGCAAAATTTCCCCTTTTTGGCCTGCCTTTTCTGCCCAAGGGGTGGAGACCTAACATTTGTACAAGACTGATTCCCCTTCACTCAAGAATGTTTCAGGCAAATTTGGGCAATATCCATTCGTCCATACAGGAGCAATAGGATTTTAAAGAATTTACTCTATTTCCCCTATTAGGACCCAGCCCCTTCTGTCCCAGGGGGCCAAGGCCTAATATTTACATGATTGATTCCCTTTCTTCCAAGAAAGCTTCAGACCAAATTTGGGCAGTTTCCATTAATTCCTACAGGAGGAACAGGATCTTAAATGAATTTCCCGTTTTGGGCCTCACACCTCAATCCTCAGGGAGCTGAGAACCAATAGTTATACAGTTAGGCTCACCTGTCCCCAAGGATGCTTCTTACCAAATTTGTCAAAATATCTTTGGTCTTTCATGACTAGTAGCAGTTTCTAGTAAAAAGTTAATGGAAACTTGTCAACAGATGCTGCCCTACGGCATGCCAATGCTTACAGAACTTTAATGAAATAAAATTGTTGTAATTTTTGTAGGTAAGAGTACAGGACAAGATGTTACACTCAGGGAGGGCTGTTCAGGCTGGAGTAAGTAATACATTGTGTATTAGTATAGATGTTCTTTAAGGAGGGTCTCCTCCTTTAAACAGGTAATGTATACTATGATATGTAACACAGGACACACAAATGTTGCTTCTACATACATAGATATATATGTATTGAAAAGTGTAAAGCTTCTTCTGCAAATAAATGAATGCTAGCTCATCTCATACCAAATTAAGGAGGTATTTTATAATTTTTAACAATACTGTGGTAATTGAATGTCACATGACGACATATGGAATGTTTTTAATCACAAGAAATGTAGTATGTTTAGATGTTGTTTTTTGTTTTTGTGACAGAACTGGAAGATTGGTAAAATAAACCATGTGGCCATGGCTGTTCCTGACATGGACAAAGCTACTTCTCTGTTCAGGGATGTCATTGGAGCTAATGTCAGTGAAAAACATGTAAGTAATAATCCTGTTTCATTTGTAAATGGGATGGATGATAAGTTATTCATTTTTGTATATGTGTAGAAGTTGAGAGTACATGTCACCTTAGCTAATTGGAATTTCCCTTTAGTTGCCAACTGGAGACTGAAAGGTCACAAAGATATGAATATCTGTTTTTTCATTTAGAACTTTTAATTTTGATCATAGCTGTGTTTGAAACTGGCTTTAGACCATGGCATATGATTAGTCTCATCTTGACATTTTTTTGTCGAATGGTAGAACGAAAAAAGAAATCCATTATCAGGTCGATTTTTTCCAATGTTGAGGTAGTTCTCTGCAGATGGATTCCTTACAAATACAGAGTCCAGTTCAAGAAAGTAAGCAAAGCTAAAGGTAGAGGTGACTAGACAACATCTGTCGAAAGATATCAGCAGACTTTAATGGTTGACATGTTTCGGCAAACTAAGTATGCCATCTTCAGAACAGTGAAACAGTTTAAAACATAGGAATTATACAGTAGGAGCGATGCCTCTGCTTAGCAACTGCACATGATGTTTACATGTGATGTCAAAGATGTCAAATTTGGAGACACACAAGACATTGTAAGTCAATATGTTTCTGATGCACTGAAAAATATGTAACAGGATGGTAAAGACTATGGTTGTATGAAGGATCTGGCTAAAATTGCCTGTGGAGAACACTGAATATTATCTATTTTATTTTTTTGATTATTTGTATAATTTTTATTCAACATGTTTTATGATATTTACAGCCTCAGCCTGACCATGGTGTTTATACAGTGTTTATTGAACTTGGAGATACAAAATTGGAGGTTTGTACAATTAATGTAAATGCTGTCTATTTTGTATATTGTATAATACTAATTTGTAATGTTTTCTGGATTTCAATTGACTCAATCAATACATAGTGGATCTGATGGACAGTTAATTGCACTGAATATATAGAAACAATTATCGAGGATGAATTTTGACCTTATATAAATGTAACAGAGGTCATTAATTATTTCAATGCCGCGTTTGGGATTCAAACCTGGGACCCCTGGCTTACTAGTGTGACACTCAAGTGATTGAGCTAAAGAGAAATTTTCTCTATCCAAGTGATGTATTGTGGTAAGTATTTACCAGGGTTACATACCCCCCCCCCCCCCCCCCCACCCCCACCCCTCCAGGAAATAACTCGTCTTCAAGTTTCTAGGGATTACAGTGATGCTGGTGAAAGTATTGCAAAGTATTATTTTTGAAGTCCCTATATGTGTGCCAATGTAATGTAACACAGGTCATTATTTATTTCAATGTCACCACTATGATTGGACCCTTGGCTTACTAGTCTGATTCTTAACTGATGGAGTTAAAGAGAAATTCTCTCTGTTTGAGCTGTATATCACAGATCGTGTTACGCCACGGTTACATAAAACTGTTCATTTTCACCCAGTGTCATGCTCTTGAATACAATTTTTGATTTTGTAAAAGAGTTTTAGCCACTTTGTATTTTCAGCATATTGGTAAAAATGCAAAAAAAAGAAGAAAGTTAAAACCTTGCCAAAAAATTCCAATCTAATAATATAATTGATCAGTAGATTTTACTTCGGTTGTTCACAGGCATCAAACTCTTACCAAAAGATAATGTTTGTAAATTTAGTATGTAAATTTATCATTACTTAGCAAATTATACTACCAACTCCAAAAAATATACAAAATTTGTTAAAACCAGACTCCAGACTAGGATAAATATGTCCTGCAGTGACTATATTCTGGTTTTTGACGTTAATTTCCATGTCTTTGTTTTTCCTCAGTTACTGAATCCTATGGGAGATAACAGTCCCATACAGAACTTCTTAGACAAAAACAAGAATGGAGGAATGCATCACATCTGTATTGAGGTAAACACGATTTGTTTTGTTTAAGATAAATGTATGGTGTCATACACGGTAGTGTAAATTCTTCGTTGACTTCTTCAAAGTACACCCAGTACCCTCTGTAAATTTGCTATTACTAAATATTTTATCGGTTTCTGTAAACGGTTATGGTGAAAATTTCCTCTGTTGCATCATTAAGATAGCATGTCATGGAAAATTCCTCTGTGACATCATTAAAGCTTTCTATTGTGGAATTTCCACTGTGACATCATTAAGACAGTTTGAAGAGTGAAAATATCAAAGATAGCCTTTGACACAGGAGCAGGTCCATGTTTCATATTTATTTGTAAATATCTAAACTTGTGTATTTAATGATATATCATCAAGCAGTGCTAAAGAAAAAGAATGTTTCTTTCTATTTCAAAGGTGGACAACATTACTGAGGCGATGAAAGATTTAAAGGACAAAGGAATTAGACTGTTGAGTTCAGAAGCAAAAATAGGAGCACATGGTAAACCTGTTGTGTTTTTACATCCAAAGGATTGTAATGGTGTGCTAGTAGAGCTGGAGGAAGCCTAATCGCAAAACATATATATATATATTTATTTACCTGATAATGTGTAGTTGTTAAATTTCATGGCGTGAATATTTGATGGTTATCCTGGTTCTAGCTTGTTTATGGGCATTAAATAGTGTGCCTGTCTATCAATCAATAACTCTGTACACAGACATCAAAGATAATTTCTGAGATTTTAATACCCAGTAAAAAAATGTTTGCAGTAATTTCCTTTTGTTCCATCACTCAATAATCGATAGTACAATCGAACTAGAGTTACTTACAATGAGCAAAATAAAATTTACAGCAAATATTAAGTACTATACAGTATATGATCCCTGTACAAGTTTGGTTTTGATCATTGAATTTAAAATAAATATGTATCATTGTAATTTAATGCATAGATACAGTCATGTTCAAGGGGGAGGGTATCATGCCATTGTTATTTGATCCCTAGAAATAATATTTTCAATGTTTGTTTGTTGGACGGGTCGTGCCGTGGGAATGCACTTGCCTTTCACCTAGTTGTCTGGGGTATTATTCCCAGTACAGACATGAAAAGGTATGGAGTCACCGCCCCACCACGTGGGTTTTCCCCAAGAGTCTGATTTCCTCCCACGTTTAGACCCAAATCACTCTTCCATCTGGGTCAACAAGAGTGTTGCTAAAAGCTGATAGCTTGTTTTGCAGTTGCATAATAAACAAAATTGGTATGCAGAAAAAAATACGGTATATATACAATGTATGTCAGTGACTGTGCAGGTATTAGGGTTTAAAGATTGAACACAGATGATATATTTATACATGAAAAAAATTGATGTTGAGATTATGTCAGAGAATAAAAATGATGTTAGTGAAAGGTTAAAGAGAAATAAGTATGATGAAAGGGAGAGAAATTGAGAGTAAATGAGAGAAGAATATATGAAGAAATGAGAAAGTAAATGTTTTCAAATACTTTTTCAATACTTTTGTTGTGTTTTCACAAGCAGTGAGATGTATGTTTCATTAAATTATGGCGTTGAATCACAATGTTTATTGTCATTATATTATTTTAAATTTAAACAATATTTATTCAATAAGTCAGCATAATCAGACATGTTACTTTGAAAAAAAATCACTGCTAAGTACAACTGTTTTGCATCAGAGCTATCATTTTTTCCCAAGACAATTCCAAAGTCTACTTGGAAACACCTACATCTCTAAGATGATGTCGGGGAATTAGTTGTCATGATGAGTTTTGTTGTGAATAAAATATTTGTGTTTAGCTTGGAATACTTCATAGTAAAAGATTGACTAGGAAAACCAACTTTTCACATGTATAACATCAATAATTTTAAAAATGATGGTAATTTTTCAGAAGAGACGAAACATACCTGTGAAGACTGAATATGAACTAACACTTACACTTACTAAACACTTATGCACAAAATGAGTGACTAAGCATTCATACTCACACAGATTACTGGACACTAACTAAGTTGAGTGAACAACTGCTTTTGATTTAAGTGGCTAAAGACTAACTCATAAATGAGTGACAGGACAATCATAAGTGGAGTGACTAAACCTTCACAATTAAGTGACTTAACACTCACACAAGAGCTAGGTGACGGAACACTCAGTCATGAGTGGAGTGACGGAGAACTTTCTCTCTATTTGAGGGACTAAATACCTACTCATGTTTCGAGTGATTTAACCCCTTAAACCCTAAATCAGAGATGAGTGTTAGGACAATGATGACTTGAGTGACTGAACACTCACCAATTGAGCGATTTGTTGCGCTTTTATTCATGTGAACTAGCGACCCATTGGTATGGAACCGGACTATCTACCACTAGACTAATGGGAAATTCTCGAAGCTAGAAATGCGATCAAGCTGTACTCTCAACTTCTACACTGGTATGATGACAAACAAATATATATCAACATTACCTTCTGCCCATCTATCTGTTTCCTTTATCAAAATTACATACATGTACCTGCTTAATCATTTAAAATGACAGTGTTAGAACAGTTAATACCAACCTATTTAGCATTATAAAGGACAAAAACATATAATAAGTTCTTATTTCCCTCTAGCTTTCAGCTCACTTTGGTTTCCAAGGGATCCAAGGTACTGATATTGGGCATGCTGGGGATGAAGGACTACCAAGTTCAAATGAAAAGCATTGATCCACTCTCAAGGTCACAAAGGTCAAATGAGTGTTAAAATTTTTCAAACAACTTTTTGATAACCAACAGGCCAAGGGGTCTTACTTGTATAACGGGTATGTAACATAATGGGCTACTTAATTTGTTAAAATGAATAGCTGGAAATTCTGCAAACTTTGTAAGTAGGGCAGAAGCTTGGTTAATTTGGTCTGTAGGGGGCTTTGAAGGCGGGACCCTGGACAGAATAATTTACTCTTTTTTCTCTGTAAGAAGGACAGGTTTTTGTCCAAAAAGTACCGTGACCGAGCATCTATTTCAGTTCATCATTTTGGTTGATCTAAAAATACATGACTAATGGCATCAGGCACAGTGTAAACATTTATGTACGTCCTGAAAGTGGTGTGTTCAATTAAATGTCTTACTTAAAACAGAATATGACATTTTGTATTTAGACCATGATGGTAACATCAGAACTCATCACTACACTTTATCAACGTACAGTTTATCTCTAGAAACCATGTGTTGGGAATTTTCTTGTTATAAACTATTGAAGCTGTAATATGAAAATACCTATGGGTAAAATACTATATAGAATATTTTAAGTGTGGAAAACGCGGTCGTTAATGTCAATAAAGGGATATCCATTTCAAAGAAAAGCAGTCTCTTTTAAATTTGATGCAAAGATTAATTAGGAAATTGATGTTTAAGAGTTTTGTTTTTGGTTAAAGTTCAAGAGAGTATGATGACATGGTGAATGGAGTGATTTTAAAGCAGCATATCATTGAAATGTCTTAGCATGAAATTGTAGGATTTTAAACTGCTACCTATACTGATAAACGAACAGAGAAAATTCAATTTCACAAAAAAAAAACTGTCTAACAAGAACAGAATAATTTTCCCGACATGATCCTCAGTATTTTTCATCCTTGCCAAATTATTTTCCTTTTCTGCTTCAATAAAGTAGACAGACATGTATCTCAGCTGTTTTGTTGTCATCACACCTGGTATCGAAGCATCCGGACTGGAAAAGTCAGGTTTGACTATAGAGAAAATTAAAGACTGAACAAATAGCTATTACAAAGTGACACATACACCTAACAGAGTAAACCGAGTCATAGGCGTCAGTTTGTACTAAGTTTGGAAGTGTTTGGCGGAACAATCAGTTGAGCCCGCTTTAGAGAAACGTTATGAGGACCGTTAATAAAGTCTGTTAGATGCATGAATACATTATACCTTGTCCTTTTCATAGTCATAGATGGGTTGTCCTAGTTAGCAATCTTAGGAATTTTTATAATATGTAAGTGACTTAACAGTCTTTGCTGCTGGCTCTATAAGAAGATATCGACATTCATTTATATTTCACATGCATTAAAACCCACGTCCATCATACCTACCCACCAGAATTGGAAATCAAGTACACGACAGAATCTTCATCAGCCGCTTATTTCGATTCCTTCCAACAACAAAACCAATACGATACGCATGATGATTTCAACTTCCTCACCTACTGTTAATTTTCCATTTCTAGGTAGCAACACCCTGCATACCCAGCATATGGTGTTTACACATCGCAGGTCATTCGACATTCTATGACTTGTTCTCACACTCACGATTTTCGTGCATGATGTCGATTACTGACATAAAACTCACCATGCATGGATTCGAGGGAAACAGATTGACAAAAACGGTCTCATAGGGAAATATGCAACTGCCTTATGCGATATGACGTTAAATTAGGCGTGTTTTGATGCTCGTTAACCGAGGATACTTTACTCTTATCTTATGGATGGCATATGGGTCTCTCATTTGTTGTTTCTGAGATAGTCATTTGTTACTACAAGGAGGCCCTGCCTCAAAATCATCCTAGCTGTTCTTGAGATTTCTTTGAAAATCCAAGGGTTACGATCGTTTTCGATCTCTGTACCCTTGGAACATTTCATTGCAAACTGGAGGGCACACGCGAATCAATTTGATTAGTCTTGAGTGGGTCTCAGAAGAAAAAATATGACCAATCGCAGAATACAAAAGAACGATATCCGTCTTCAAAGTCGATACAACATACCGTTATGCGACCTCGAGATTTGCCTGATGTACATCAAATAATCAGACTAGACTTGTCCACAATGTGCCGCATATGGAACCTTAATTTTTTCCATGAAATATTCCAGGGTGCAGTGAACGAAAAATGCTCGTAACCTCTGTAGTAACAAGGATTTTCACGGGTCGATAAACTCAACAAATAGATAACAATATTCCATTTTAAAGCAAAATTGACCATGCCACAAAGACTCTGTTCTCGCGAATACATTCGGTACAGTGCTTATACAAAGTTTGATACCGTATCCTGTACCAAGAGCCAGGTACACAAGTCCTGATATATCACCGGGAAGTTCAAGTTTAATTAGATGTAGTAGAGAAGGTGACACTGTAGCCTTAATTGTAATAAGTAATTATAGTACTTAAAATATCGTGTGTGTGTTTGGCTGCCATTAAAAAACGGTGATGAATACTTTTAGGGAATCAGTAACGCTCCGCCAATCATGCATTTGGTCCAGGCAGTTAATGGCAGTAAGAGGACGATGAGCTCGTAATTACAGCAGTTAAAATGACCGACAAAAATAACATTGGTAAGCAAAACAGAATATTAACAGATAAATAAGTAAATGTTTAAAACAATCGGACCGGCAGGTCGATGATCAAGGATGGTTGTAAAATATCTATTACGTTACATCATATATAGGCTTTAGATAAGGAATCGTCTGACTCCCATTTTTCACTGACTCTGTTATTCAAATTTTTTTTATTAGGAAAGCCTTACGGCTAATGAATTTAGTTTACACGTGGAATATTATGATGTTTAAGTGATAGATAGCCGTTTTTACATGAACTAACTCTTACACCTGCACACGCACACACTTTCACACTCCGATACACGAGCGTTCACACTCATTCACTCAATCGTGCTTGTTGACAAGTGTTTTCGCAATCAGTCGGTTTTCTTAAATAAAATTGGAGAATTTAACAATCTTACGGGCTACTGTTATCATTGTCCCAATATTTGGTGACACTGTTCTCTAACATACATTAAAAAGTTAGAAAGATTGCAAAAGAGAGTTTTACGCATAATACTAGATGCAGATTATTCTGTATGAGGTGAAGAGCTTTTTGTTTACCAGACAGTGTTAAGTACTGCCAAAACCTGAATAGTTTTAAATTTGAATGCACAAAAATATACATTCAACTTTTAAATATAAAATTCCACTGTCTGGCAGTTTTAGCATATATTATCATCGTAACTGTATTTCATGATTGTATTTTATGTAACTCTTAATCCCTACTGTGTGTGTCACATGTTTTATATACATTCATAATGCATCTTTTAGCTAATTTTATTTAAATGTTCTCTTACATCTTACTGTAATATTAAGATTTGTCTGTAATGTTTCAATATTAATTATTATAAATATTGTATATTTCTGATGTCGGCCACTTGTGTGAACTCAAAGTGCCATCGAACCTGTTTAAAATCTTTTATTATCATTACTATTAGATATCGCGAATCGGATAAAGTCCACCGTCAGCCATTTGTTTTATGTACGAAAATGCAAGCTGTATAGCTAATTTTATGTGGCGACACATAAAAACTGCTTTCCTTTATACCGTTCTATAACTTGATTGGTGATGGGTTAACCACCCCCCCCTCCCCCCTCCGCACCTTAACCAGGTTGGTGTCTCATAACTTTACATAGAAGTTACAACAAATTCAACGATCAGTGATTTTATATGTATTTGAGTCCAGATCTCAAGATTTTCCTGTAAGACTCGCTCAAATTTTAGGAACCAAGTACTCTTAATTACTGAACTCATCAAAATTTTGGAAATGGTGCTCTGGACCTAGCAGAATAAATCCCACAAAAATTACTGACGTTTGCTTAAGGCGACTTAAGCTAGGCAATGAGTGTTCATCACGAATTTTATCTATTTTTTTATTCATTCATTTGTCAAAAAAACAATGAATATTTCTAAAGTCTAATTTTTGATCAAAAGGCAGAAAGAAACAACCCTACCCAGCTGTTGTTAACGTAGTAAATGACATTGCCTATTAACTTTTAAATGTTGGTTATTAATTAAATCTTATTCGTGTCCAAATGACTCTTAGAGATATTCTTTTAAGTATTCCGAATATACCTATGGTGCACGAGGGCTGATTGATAAGCTGTGAGCCTCTTATGTAAGGCTTTGAATTTTGACGGACATATTGCATTACTTTTTAACATAATCCCCTTCAATATCTATACACTTATGCCAGAGATGTTTAAGGACTTCAATGCCACTTTTAAAGAGATTCTTTTCTTGGCCATTTAGAAAGTCCTCCACTGCATGTATGACGTCATCATTTGAATTTTGGAAATAGATGAAAGTCTGATGGTGTGAGATCAGGCGAATAAAGCAGAAGCTCAATCAATTCAAAACCACAATCGTTAATGGCAGCCATGGAAATGACAGACTTGTGAACAAGGGCATCGTGCTGCTGTAAAGACACACCTTATTGACTTTAATATTTTATCTAAACTGTCTAAGAAATGAGGCATCATATGTGCTATTGTTTGTTTCTCGCTTTTGTAGATAATCTACCATTGGAATACAATAGGCAATTTCAGCAGATGAACCATTATATGCTGTCTTTGGCGAGGCTTAGCAAGGGTGCTTTCATTATTTTGACTGTTGTTTGGTCTCCGGGGTTAAACTGATGGTCCACGTTTCATCCATAGACACAAATACCCGAGGAAAGTTAGGAGAACCAGCATCTAAACGATTCAGTTTAACATTAATTAGTTTAATATGAATAACAAGCATTGAATATCATCTATGTATGTACAGCCTTTGTATCGAGTGTTACTTATAATTCTTGGCATATGTTTTTATAAATTCTTTAATGTGACACATGAACCAAAATGACTCTAATCATTAACTACCTAATATGATATTGTATAGAAATATTCTTTTTACTTGCGTGTCTGTTTTACAGTCTTTTAAACCCAACAAATTGTATTGAAGGGAAGATTTGAATGTTGAAGACAATAAATGAAACATTTGTTACAGCTGAAATGTTTATTAACTTTAAACATCGTAAACAATACACAAACATATATCATTGATGCATGAAGCATCAGTGTGAGTCCACTGGATGACACAAAAAGAATTGTGATAAAAATGATAAAAAAAATTTACAGAATGATATTTAAATTTGATTCTAAGTTACAATCCTAAACCATAAATGCCATAGACAACACAAACATGAAAAAGTTTTATTGAACTCGAGGAAAAAGGAAATGATGAGAGTCATCACAACCATCATAATATAGGTTAATCTATATAAACGATTAAGTTAAAACAAGAAAAATTGCTGAGTAGATACTAGGGACGATAGCTCAGACGTTGGGTCGTCTGCCTATATAACCTCGGGTAAAATCCGAGGTGTGTGGTTTGGAAATAAGCCGGATACTGAACTGTACTGCACTACACTACACTACACTACACTACACTACACTACACTGCACTGCACTGCACCGCACCGCACCGCACCGCGCCACGCCACACCACATCACACCACACCACACCACACCATTAACAATGGCGAGGCCAGTCTCCTCCTCGTACATATAGTGTAGTTTGGTGATTATATCTCACTTAAAACACATGACCGACTCTGTTCAAACTGAAAGTTACACTACTCGTCCTTTTGGTGCATAGCGGAATAAACATATTCTTCCCGATGAAAATGTGTAACCATACCAATTTTTGGTGTGAGGGAACAAGTAATATGTTTTGTAAACAACCGCGAAAAGCTGCCCCATCAGTATATAATATCTTTAAAAATGTGATGTGAAATTTAGCTTATCATTATCTTTTAATTGCTACATATTACAATATTTTAATGTATGTTTCGGTATCATTTTTTTTGTGCAGCCCTTTCCTAAAAACTTAATTGTCTTTACGTGACATTCGACTGCTATCTTCGAATTTAGTGGTAGTAGACACTGCTTGTGGACTAATGGTCCCCGAGGTTTGTCGTTACCTGCATGCCACGTGTTACTTCATTCGAATAGTTCAGAATATACACATGTACTCTATGATCTGATGAAATTATAATAAAACAATTACAAAGTCTATGGAATTATTGGGCCAATGCACCTCCCAAGCTACATAGATTTTCACAATCATTCCGGTGATTTTTTTCTATTTTTCTCATTTGCCTTCTGTCCCTTAACATCAGTGACAGAGGTATAAAACAATTGTTGGAATTTCAAAAGGTATGAGTGATTTTAGTAACGATTTTGAATGAAAAAAGACGACACTCAAGGATGAAAAATACTGATGGTATTTAACATTATCTAATCTAGCTATGATCATTGACAAAAACAGCCAAACAATAACAACAAAAACTATAAAACATACGCTAATACCATTTTCTCAATAGAATATCCTGCAAATTTAGCAGTTTGTCACAAATGGCTGAAACTTCACTATCGCTCTGTGTATGGATCAATAGTGAGCGTTATGCATGGAGTATCGAGGATGGTTCAAACACATATATTATATTCTTCCTATATACAACAAGAGCATGTTATATCTAACAGCGAGATATGAGAGAAAACTTAAAATGTATTAGTTCAAACTAGTTTTTCTATTATTTTGATAACGGAACACAAAACTAGGTAACTGTAGACAGCCTTTTATTTCATGTATACTTAATTGTTTCGTTTAGAATCAAGACACGTAATTTTTAGTTTATGTATTCTCAAATTCATTACAAATTAATTCGTTAAAGACTTTATGATCTGTATCATGTTACAAATAATGTACTATATTTCAAGTAAAGCGCATTCAACATTTTCCAACATTAAGTAATAATTGCATCCAAAAGCACGTGATCAAATTGATCCCGTGGTGTTTACATCATACATTCCATGATGACTCTACTTTCAATTCAATCAACGGCACTTGTTGAAATTTAATTGAACTGAAACAAATGTATATGCTACAGAATATTTCACGTAATTTTAACATTTGATTTTATTAATCATATTCCTGACCTGTCGTATAAGTTCTATACAACTTCGCATATGAAGTTTGTTGTTAGGTCGCAATAAATATCCCTCAATTTCCCTCTACTTCTGTCATAGGTTAGACAATCATCAACATCGGTGTTTAACTCTGTCCCTCGACTTCGTATCCACGTCATCTCTTCACCATTAGGTAATCTCCATATGCCTTCAACATCTACGTCTGTTCCTGCCAAAAAGTATCTCCCGGATGCTGCAATGATAACATATATAATGTTGTAAAATATATTCATTTTGAACAAAACAACATATTATGTTAGAAATTCTTTGTATAGCATTATGTCAAATCCACAGCAAAATATCGGTACCGTCTCTGAGTTCTTTGGAACAGTAAAAAGTGCTGGAGGTCAACATCATGTTTTTAAAAAAGTATACAATCACGATATTAAATGATGATTAACTGTCTCAGCTTCCAAAAGAACACATATCGCTCAAACAGAGATAAAACCACACGCTTCGGATCTTCATTTGTAATTCCGTAATTGCGATGCTCACACACCTCGGATCATTATCTTAAGTTAACTTCATTACCTGAACGTCCCTAATTCTAATGCTCGCACACATTGGATCTTAACCTAAAGGTCCCTTATTCCAACGCTCGCACATCTAGGATCTTCACCTGAAGTTCCGTTATTGCGATGCTCATACTCATCGAAAAATTCTTTATTCCTATGATCACACACCACGGATCATTACCTAAAGTTCCCTTAATTACCTGAAGGTCCCTTAATTACCTAAAGTTCCCTTCATTCCCTTATTCTGATGATTACACGCCTTGGATGTTCCCTACCATTTACATGGTGCAAGCCATCGGGGCCTTCATTAAGAGAACTTAGACGGATCAGGTAATTAAACATTTTGTAAATGTTTCTAGTTATCTGTATATTGGAGAACAGAGTGAAATCAAGCAAAAAGAAAAAAATAAAGTTTGGAAATGAAATTAAAAGGGCAGGAAACTATATTCTGTTTGATGGATTCCATGTAAAAAGTACAGAATTTGGTAAATTCGAAAATTTGATCCATCGAAAATACAATTTTAACTATAAACATGTCTTTTCTCAAATAAAATATTTTTGGGCTAGACTGTTGGATTACCTATCGAAGTGAAATGAAACTTCATTTTCAACACAACAGTTAATTCATAGAGTTATTTCTATCGGTCGATTTTGCTTTCCTTAGTCGCCTCCTAGGTTTCAAAATTTAGGCCTTAAGGATCCCTGACAACTCCTAGAGGGACGGAACAGCAGTATCATACAGTTGAATTCATGACCTGGTTCTGTTATATTTAATTCTGAATTTGTATTGGAAGGACCTATTAACCTGTGTGTCTTAAGTACAATAACAGCAAGAAAATAACAACAAGTCGACATAATCATAATCAAATTCGATCAAATCGTGACAAAACAGGAACAAAAGAAAGATTAACACGAAGACTCCTGAAAAAGTAATAGGAAAGTAAGATCACATGTTCAGGGACAGTAAACGCTTCTGCTGCATCGGCGACACCCGCGATAGAAATCTTGGTCAATGCAAGTAAGTAAAGTCACGTCATAAAATGTGAACAAGGTATACAACAACGGAAGCAACATGCAAAGTAATGAGTACCAAACATGTCTAGATTCATATTGCACATCACTATTTGAGATGAAACGTGTTCCGATTGAGCTTTATAAATCTAAAACACGACAAAATGTATAGCTTGGTAAGTATTGAAATAATTCTACTCACTAATAACGGCTTCGACGGCATCGAACTTTTCCACGCTTGTCATCCAGATAAGTCGGCCTCCTTTTGTCTGGCAGTACTCATCACTGTCGGTTGCCGTCAATGATTGATTTGTCACAAGCAGGATACAATAGGCATCGGATACAATTTGAAATTCCAAGGGACACTCTGAGAAAATATAAAAGTAATTACAAATTTTATGAGATAGGTTTGCAATGTTTAAAAAGAATAAAACAAACGCCCGGCAGTTTCATTGATTGTAAAATTATGCATGGTTTATTAGGTATATTTACAACGTTACAAACAATTCAAGGAAACGCCCCGCAGGTTTTTATTTCATTTCTTATTATGTGTGCTTGCTTGTGATGGTGTGCGTATGCATGTGTGTGTGTGTGTGTGTGTGTGTGTGTGAGGTTGTGTGTATGTGTGTGTGTGCGTGTGTGGATGTGTGTGCTTGCTTGCGCGCGCGCGTGTGTGTGTGTGTGAGGGGTGTGTGTGAGTGTTGATGTGTGTGTGTGTGCTAGGGTGTGTGTGTGTGTTTGAGTGTATGTGCGTGCGTGTATGTGTGTGTGTGTGTGTGTGTGGATGAATGATATCACACTTCTATAAACAACCGTATAGTTATTCATTTTTCCTCCAATAATTAATAAAAGCGAATACCATAAACGTAGAAAAGAACAATATATCATGAAATAAATGACGGCAATCCGTTCTTTAGAACGTTGTTAAGACAACCAAAAACCTTTAGTTAGACACTGTACTGTCTTCTAGTATCGGCTGGTGTATGTTTAAGGAACTGCTCTGGTAATGTTCCCAATACTCATTCAGGTATAGGTACACTTCTCTCCGTGACAGACAAAACTGACTACAGAGGTAAGTATATAGCCTTGCAGCAGTGTATAAAACCTTCTTATCGACTTCAAATATTTACCAATAAACACTAAACCATGCAAAATCTGATCGAAAGAAAACATCCTCAAGGATGTTTAATTCGAAATATTAATTTTTCATACTCACGTTTGAATGTGTACTTCGGACTTGTCCACGTATTGTCTGCCTTACATGTGATGCTTTCCGTTACACATGTGACGTTTGGGAATGAGGAGTTAGAAAGGTATTCGTTACTAATAGTAATGCCAACGGACCTTAAACTAGATGTGGTGGATAACGTCATTTCCGGCGGATCGGAACATTCTGTGGAAATGGAAATCACAATTAAACAGTTAAGGCTGACACTCTGACATCCCCACCTCGTTGTTAGTATTCGTAAATTTAATAAAGAATATATATCAACCACTTTTTGTATTTCTTTTGTAACTTGATTGTCTAATTCATCTCAATCGTTTTTCCAGGCTCCTGGACCCGTAGTATTATCAAAGCAGTAATAAAAATAGTTTTGTTGTGCTACTGTATACTCGACAAGTCGAAAACTTTTAATGTGGATTTTAGAGAACTCAGAACTCATTCTTTGATCATGAATGATTTATTTGCAGAACAATTGCAAATGCTGGCGATTTTCTAAGAGGAAGATAAAATATACTGACAAATAATGAAATTGTACGAATGATTGAATTCATCAGTTAATTTTGTGGTAAACGTTTCCAAAAGACTATGACATTATCCATGGGACTTACTGTGTGTCTCTGTTCACTGGTTTGTCTTTGTTTTCAAAAGACATCTTTCCGAAAAGCTCATTAATATCGGCAATAAAGTCATTCTTGTCATTTTTTTTTCAATTTCAATTAAGATATATTGATCATATATTCAAGAATTCTATTGACTAATGCCCAAATAAATATTCACCAGAATTGAAAACAGGAACATGACTGACTTGTATTTTTTTCTACTATTATATTGATCTTTTCCTAAAACGCAGCCAAAAAGAACACTCCATATATAATCTGTGTGATAAGCAGTATGATTTTGATTTTCCCATGATGAAATTTCCATTTCTTCATCGAATAATTCCTGATTCCTGAAAATACAATGTCCAGTATCATGATGTCCGTGAAAAAAAACTGGCAGGTAAACTTACAATACACGATTTCGAGTGACGAAGACTATGAGAAAGTGTCATTGTCGCCTTGGGAAATATCATGCTTTCGTCAGCAATATCTTTGATTAGGAGTAATGTTCGTTATCATTATGTCTGGCTGTTTTATTGCTTCTCATAAAAACTTTATTGTAAGCACATTCAATATCAAATATGCAGATGGTGGTTAATAAATGAAAGCAGGTATTAAAATCAAACCAATTATTTGTCTAAGACACTGAGTTGTTACTTAAATTTGCTGCTATTTCAATATCAAGAACTAATTGAAAACATAGCAGGTTTTAAGCAAGTTAACATTTACAGTTTGGAAGCAGTTCAGTGTTTGTATACTGGTATCCATAGAAAATAACATTGCTTTAATAAGAATCAAAGTAATGTTATATGAATTACATATATGTACCTACAATGAATACTGAGTGTGTTCATTTCTTGCAAAATAAATCTCTTGTTTAATTTCATTCGTTGAGATATGAATTCTTTCCATTGATTTTGTACCGTGTTAACTCAAAAAACAAAACTAGACAAAGACGGAAAGGTTTTTTTTCGAGCCACAGCAACAGCATCGCAACGTTAGTTAGTATACTGTACAATGCTTCACTTAAGGAAGGGTGCACCATGAAATTGCTATTCGTTACACGGACTACCAATTGTTTGCGAATGAATACTATTGAGACGAAGTAGGAAATTTACAGAAATTTTGTAAGGAGAGGACAACTGAAGCGTGATGATTCAATTTACTGATTCATTATCCAAATAATATGTTGATACCAGCAAATCATCGAATGAATGACTTTCAACTGGACAGCTAAAGCTGGTAAGAATGACAATGTTCGAGACAATTGAAATTGAACAGGAGATAATATCTAAATTTCGATATAAATGCCAGCTGGCCCATGATCATGGTTGATTATTCTAATGGATGCCGGTTCCTATGACTGTCTAACACTTACCTGTATTAATACACACAATATTGCCAGACGAAAGTTCAGTACATCTCTGTCCGGACCCACATGGTTTTTCAGAACAGTTTTTAGCAATATCCTGGAATAAATCGAAATAAAAAATTGTATTAAATTTTAGGATCAGTGCATCTCCTATTTATCATTGAACATCTGCTTCGATCAGGTTTGATGCCTCCTAGGCTTCCATAATTTAAACCCTCAACATTTATGACGACACCTTGAACAGTAAAATAGCCATGTGATACAGTTTGATTTAGTACTTAGCGTATCTAATTATATTTTTTCTTTAAAAAAATGTTAATCACTTGTTCCTCTTCTGTATCATATACATAATATCAAAATTCGTCACATTTTTTAAAAGGAAGAACCAATAAAATACAATTTTTATTTACTCTTTTAAGTCACAAATTAGATATACTTAAAATGTAGATGTTACATAACAATACATGTTGTTTTACTGAAATAGATATGCTGAACAATGCATATCTACCGTTACTTTACGATACATGTGTGGGCAATTCAATTACAAAACAACAAGCCTCCCTTGTCAATGAATGGAAGAGGTAGACCTCCATTAATGTAAGAACCAGTGTCGATGTTAAGGCTAGGGTTCGAAGAGCGAACAATAACCTTTTATCACTAGAACAAATGTACTCAGAGACCTTCATTCTAAGTTCATGTGCTGAATAATGAATACTTGCCGTCTCTGATCTTTTTAAACATGTACGTAAAGGGCATTATTTAAAAAACATGTCAGGAATACTAGCTGTCATTAAACCCGGCCTCGTTCTGTGCATGTACTCAGATACCTTCTTTCAAAAGTAAAGAGTGAATCCAACCTCTTGTATCTGAACATTTTACCCAAAATTATGATTAAAGTACATAGTTAATTCCTTATGACAAACTAAGCAATACGATAGTATTCATGGACCTTATTTAATAGGTTAAGGTATTTTTATGTATATTTTCTAACAAAATCATGTAAATGCGTTCTCAATTGACAGGTTTAACATGGATCTAAGCACATGAAATTCTGGCAGAATAAGACATTTAAATACCACAGAAGCTGATCTTAAGAATATATACGAAGGTAAAGGTATAAAATGCAGAATGGTTTTCATGATGTTACTGAGCCATAAAGAGTCGATAAAATGAAAAAAAAAAAAAAAAAAACATAGTAGTTTTTAATATACACTTAAAAACAATGGAACGATATTTGTGAGGATCTTTAATTCGTTGAAGATGACTGTTTCCCATCATGCTCTATGATTAGCGTGGTTATTCACATTTTTATATTGTCATTTTTTTATTTCTAGAAAGCGACATTCCTGCTTCACCAACCAATGGTGTTCACATGTTGCAATTGATTTGGTATTTAGTGGTTTGATCCAAATATCATCATTTTTGTGCAAGATGTCGGCAACTGCAGAAAAACTCACAATTGAAGGTTTGGAGATTGATGAAGATTATTGGAAAGTTTTACGGTCGTCATAATGTTCTCATTGGGAATTATTCTATCTTATTTTGCAACATCGAATTCAACGTTAGTGTTGCATGTTGGTATGTTTGGCGGTTCTGTGACATGAAATGTGTCGACGGTGAAGAAGACGCTCGCCCTTTCGGAACACTTTGTGCATCCTCCTTGCACTTTTTCGTGGGATCGCCGTGTAAGTTATATTTTTGAATTTGAATTAAGATTAGTGGACATGTCAATGTTTTACTTGATATTTTATTTAGAATAATAGAATTGACAGGTTTTTTTCAATCATCATATATGAATTTATATGTCTCAAAGCTAGAAATCTCTCATAAACCAATAACTAGAAACAAAATCTAACTTAAATCGTTCGTTAAAAAAGAATCACCACTGAATTGATTAGTGTGCCACTCGACCTATGAAACAACACCGGCAATAAAGAAATACAGGTGAAAAAACCAATGTCAGTAAATGTTCAACTATATATATATATATCAATAGCAAAGGACGTCCAATATAGAAAAATAGAGCCTAGATATGGTCTTATTATAAGCAGAGGTTTGGGAGGAAACAGGAGACAAGAAGACGAGGTCATATTCGAGGAGATGAGTCGGTGGGCGTATTCAGTGTTAAAAAGTATTGAGAAAAAAAATTTCGACCGAGAGAAAAGTAACTAGAATCTAGTTTGGACCACGAAGAACAATGGAAGAACGAGCCTATAAAAACAATTAAAATGTAGTTACAAAACAAAAACACAAAGCATCCATAAAGATGTTCAGAGAATTCTAAAAACACACAAAAGTAAAACTATATTCAAATACTGTTTAAGAATCAGACACACGTATTATAGCCAAATTATGAAAATAACTGCATAATACAACTGTTTCATGATTCTAAGTATGGTCATTGACGGTAAGAGCTGAAATTTATTAAACCTAGGATACCCGTTGTTATAAAACGATTGATAGGGTAGGTTTGTTGTGAAATATGAAGCCCCAGACAAGATGAGAATTCGAAGAAATCTATGAATATATCGTGACAGTTATTTCATTACTCCTTAAGGAGACTCGACCCTTTCACAATTAATATAAAGATTATCTTGAAACTTTTACAGAATGATTATGTTACCTTGGGAATGTGATTTTCTGAAAATCTAAACATTCAAGTGAGTTGTAAAATTTTTGGTGAAAACGCCAAAAAACTTATCTTTCTCGAAATTCAATTTTTTATTCATTGCATTTTCTTGCAAGATTTTAGAAGGTCATTAAAAAATGATAAACAGAAAAAAGAAATCTATATATACTTTGCAAGTATTTAATTTATGAAAAAAATCCCAAGCAATATTTAAAAAGTAGGCTATATTGATATCAACAGACTTCAATATTTACACCTATACAATCACATAACACATAGATGTAAAAACTATAATAGAATGGTTCCTATGGTAGGATGCCTTCCTTGCAATTATCAGGCACCTTTCTGGGCGGGTAGTGTTATTGATATATACAGTCATACTAAATTGACCCTTTTATAACAGCATCATGATATATAAATATATTTAAAGAGAATAAAATCAACACGACAATTGTATTCCGCTAACGTTTTCAGGCCTAACGGCCATCACCAGGTGACACATTTATAATAACATCTTGGTAACGACATTGTGACGTCATACATATTACCTAACAACTATAAATGCAAGTTAATGTTTTGGAAAATCGTTAACTCATAATTGATTAATAACAAACGCCCATAAATGTAATGTCAATATAATGCAAACGATAACGTTATCTCCCACCCTAAGTTGTTGGATGCAAGATGGTTATCAAAATATCAATAATGTTTTACACAAATCCATTTATGTTTTGGACTCTAGACACTGAACGTGTATGTGATTGTAACGAATACTACTGCGCGTCACACTCCAAGGAAAGTAGTCTACTTATACATCATAGCCGCATTCTAAATGAGGATTGTTTGATTAAAAATAAGAAAATTTACTGTAAGAAATGTTAAATGTATGTGTAGTTACAATAAAAAGTAATTTGATAAAAAAAACCCAGTTAAATGCACAATATATATATTTAAATATAATTTTGCATATGATCAAATAGTCCCCACAATCGTCAACTCACCCAAAAAAAAGTCGTCCCATAAAATTGACAATTTCCACTTACGGACTAGAGTTAATAAACGGCGCCAATCTCAAATAGGTAGTCAGTTTTGCATATCTAACTAATGCAATTTTACAATAGGTCGTAATATTATGCCCAAACTAATATGTATGTCCAGAATGTGTTTTCTTGAATTTATATGTATGATATATAATGATATATGATATTTCTTTCATTCTCGTTAATTATTTGTTAAAGAAAAAAATTACATAAAACACTCGTTGAAATTTGGCTCGTCTTGATTTACATAAATTCATGATAACATTTGCATTTTCTTTAATTTTATGTTGCTTTAAGGTTTGTTCGAAATCTGAAGTAAAATAGTCCCCAACTGTCAAATTTGCTATAATTTACTTATTTATGCTTATGAATAAACGTAAAGGACACTGTAGTACTATGACGATGTTGAATTACATTAAGCAATAAATGTTTTCATGAGTGCCAGTTTGTGATGTCACACGCGCATTGACGTGCTAATGTTTACATACGTTTAGGAAATATTAACAGAACAACAACAGTATGACTTTCACCTGGTACGTGTACAGCATCACTGGTGATACCTACTGCTTTCAATTGTGCATGCGTTGTAATAGATGTATTTATACATCCATAGGCAGGACTTTCCGGCGTATTTTAGGTCATTACCATTGACAGAGCACATATCTCGATCTTGGATTGGGTAATAAAAATCATTTGATCAGTCCTGGATGATATGCATTTACAGGTAACATAACCTGATTAAATAATAATTCCAAATAAGAGGACTGACTTATTCCTCTGTTCAGCAACAAGCTCCAATTTGTGCCTAGACTAGAATTTCGCTGAGGAGGAGCTTCATACAGGGAAAGGTTACTTGTTTGTTCAAGCCGCATTTTAATGTTTTCTCAACGTTCCAAGAACCATTAATATAGTTAGTTCACATAGAAACAAGAAAAAACAAATGGACAGGGTATTAATGATGGAGAAAATAATTTATAATAACATCTTGGTAACGACATTGTGACGTCATACATATTACCTAACAACTATAAATGCAAGTTAATGTTTTGGAAAATCGTTAACTCATAATTGATTAATAACAAACGCCCATAAAAGTAATGTCAATATACAGCAAACGATAACGTTATCTCCCACCCTAAGTTGTTGGATGCAAGATGGTTATCAAAATATCAATAATGTTTTACATAAATCCATTTATGTTTTGGACTCTAGACACTGAACGTGTATGTGATTGTAACGAATACAACTGCACGTCACACTCCAAGGAAAGTAGTCTACTGATACATCATGGCCGCATTCTAAATGAGGATTGTTTGATTAAAAATAAGAAAATTTACTGTAAGAAATGTTAAATGTATGTGTAGTTACAATAAAAAGTAGTTTGATAAAAAAAAAAAAAAAAAAAAAAACCAGTTAAATGCATAATATATATATTTAAATATAATTTTGCATATGATCAAATAGTCCCCAGAATCGTCAACTCACCCAAAGAAAAGTCGTCCCATAAAATTGACAATTTCAACTTCCAGACTAGAGTTAATAAACGGCACCAATCTCAAATAGGTAGTCAGTTTTGCATATTTAACCAATGCAATTTTACAATAGGTCGTAATACTACGCCCAAACTAATATGTATGTCTAGAATGTGTTTTCTTGAATTTATATGTATGATATATAATGATATATGATATTTCTTTCATTCTCGTTAATTATTTGTTAAAGAAAAAAATTACATAAAACGCTCGTTAAAATTTGGCTCGTCTTGATTTACATAAATTCATGATAACATTTGCATTTTCTTTAATTTTATGTTGCTTTAAGGTTTGTTCGAAATATGAAGTAAAATAGTCCCCAACTGTCAAATTAGCTATAATTTACTTATTTATGCTTATGAATAAACGTAAAGGACACTGTAGTACTATGACGATGTTGAATTACATTAAGCAGTAAATGTTTTCATGAGTGCCAGTTTGTGATGTCACACGCTCATTGACGTGATAATGTTTACATACGTTTAGGAAATATTAACAGAACAACAACAGTATGACTTTCACCTGGTACGTGTACAGCATCACTGGTGATACCTACTGCTTTCAATTGTGCATGCGTTGTAATAGATATATTCATACATCCATAGGCAGGACTTTCTGGCGTATTTTAGGTCATTACCATTGACAGAGCACATATCTCGTTCTTGGATTGGGTAATAAAAATCATTTGATCAGTCCTGGATGATGTGCATTTACAGGTAACATAACCTGATTAAATAATAATTCCAAATAAGAGGACTGACTTATTCCTCTGTTCAGCAACAAGCTCCAATTTGTGCCTAGACTAGAATTTCGCTGAGGAGGAGCTTCATACAGGGAAAGGTTACTTGTTTGTTCAAGCCGCATTTTCATGTTTTCTCAACGTTCCAAGAACCATTAATATAGTTAGTTCACATTAAAAAACAAGAAAAACTAATGGACAGGGTATTAATGATGGAGAAAATAACAATAAGATATTTAAAAATGGAAAAATAATAATGAACGAATTAATGCAGTAGATGTTTGTAATAAACAGTGACATCTTGCTCTGCACCATCAGAAAACTAAGAAAAGGAAATGTATATCAACCGTGTAATCTCGCCCTGAAAACCGATCCTACTAACTTCTTTGTGATAGTCGAACTTACAAAACAAGCTTGCAAGGTTTCACATGACGCTGAATGCCAAAAAAGGTTTGGAAAGCTAGAACGTAGCACCACTACTAGCTAACCCAGATGCCAAAAAACCTTACACATTGTACACCGATGCCAATGATACGTGTATTTGAGTATGCCTCATACAGATGTCATAAAATGGTGTAAAAATGGCGCTTCACTATTTGCCGCTAAGGCTCAGCCATTCACAAACAAAATGACCTGTCAAAGAATTGGAAGTGTTCTTTGCAATAAGATTACTTAATGCCAATTTTGTCCTCAAGACAGATCACAAACTAAAATATATCTAAATTCGCAGATGAACAACAAAAAGATAAAATGTAGCGCTAGGGTTGAAACAGCGCTGTCACGAAAATCCGACAATGGCGGTGACAAAAACAAAGAAACCTCTAAGGAGCTTGTGGACGAGTAACACGAAATAGAAACTCGCGCAATAGAAATAAGCATATTGAACTCTAATAAGTTTGATCCGGGAGAACACGTAACTCGCGACAAAGATGCACCTGATAAACTCAGCAAACCAGAGTGGAGCATAACAGGAATATACAAAAGAAACAGGGCAATGTTAAAGATATACAAATGTAGTAAGAATTAATTGCAGTCAAACAGTGGGAATGCTATTAAGATGGAGGAGAAACGTCACTTGGTCATTGATGATCTTCTCTATAACTAAACTAACGAAGATTCGGGCGATTCAAGATTATATTTGTACATTCCTTAGGAACTGGAAATTTTAGTTATCAAATAGTACCACAATCTCCTTGCCCTTTAATAACAGTTATGACTTTATAAAGATTATTATTTTCCCCCAAATACGAAGCGGAAATTGTAGACGTCAACACAAGAACTACTTCTGTACCCATTTGCAAAGATTGGCTTAGCCTTTCAATGTCCTTACCTAACAACACTGTCAGGCAATAAATAAAAAGTTCATTGACCTGTACTGAACGGCCAGAAACATTCAGCCTGTCAGATCAATCAGCTGATAGCATTGTATAACCCATCATCAAAGAGATATTTCCAAGGTACGGTTATCCCTTATAGATTATCACAGACAATGGAAATGAAATTGTCAACAAAGAGCAGCATTGTATATCTAATATGTTTCTACATCCTACCACTGTCAACAAAACAATGGCAATGTAGATGGGTATCCATGAACTCTATACGTTGTTCTGGAGAAAAAATAGAAGATGATGTACAGACAAGGGACGTATATCTCAACTAAACCTTGGAAGTGAATCAGGATAGTCAATAACTAGTCGACGATGTGTTACCGTTGTTACAACTGAGATGCAACACTACAATAAGACACTGTTATTCAAACAATATGACGACCTGTATTACATTGGGAAAACAGATCAAGGCCATTCAACTTGTGTGCGATAAATTGTATATTGTAGCAAAATGCATGTTCCATCACCTGATGCAATGGAAGACCAGTGTTAAACGTAATGGTACATCTGACTGTTACGGACGATCATATTGCGACATTCTTGAAACCCACCCAACTTCAAGGCGCCCTGATTATGAAAGGTTAAGGAGGAATATGAGTGCCTCCACCAACAGTTAGGGATGTCGGAGGGAGCATTGTAATGGTAATCCTATACCTGGACAGTATAACCTTGATTTCCATAATTATAATTTGTTTGTAATGGAATTTCAATGGTGGTTTTGGTCAAAAGTTAATTGGACCAAATTTGAATAATTGTATTTTAACACGCGATATTGTATTGACATCCGAATAATGGATTTCAAATGATTATTCAATATAAAATAGGACACTTCAAAAGTGTTGTACTCCCTAGAAAAGAATGAAAAAACGATGTAATCAGAGTGGTGGAAATGTACTATTAATAAAGAATTGTATTTCATATCTGTTGATAATTCGTTTTAATACCTTTATACCAGTCACTATTGACAGCCGACTTGTTCACTATGCTAAAGACATTATTATCATATTATCCTACGTTCCCCCTTAGTTCTCGTAATTTTATTTGCTATGCAAATGTGATATTTGCAAGAAATAGAAAAAAATATATACTTTGGTTCTTTGAACACATGATATGTTGATCGGAAACTTAAATAGTCAAACAAACAAATACGATTTTATTGCACATGATACAACTGTACATTTGTGGAGCGTTTCTAGAAGCACACTGAATCCATTTTTAATTATCTTAATGACTATTCAGATAGGAATTCACCAGGGAGAGTTAACCCAAATTCTGGTATAAATATATTCGGTTTTACATTGATTAACTTTTATAAAACTACGGATCTTTGTATTATGAATGGTAGGGACATTGATAGTTCCTCAAATGACTTTACACAATGTGGATCGAATGACATGAGTGTGATTGATTACTTGATAATGCCTTTTGTTTCATTCTAGTGGAAAAAATTATTGTCGGTTATTTTACTGAATTCTCCAATCATTCACATTTATACATTCATTTTCATACTGAAACAATGTCACTTCTGATGATCCTGTAGTTCATGATTTCGTCGGCGTTGAAGGCCCAAAATACGTTTAGAGTGAGGAAGTTTAACATTTATTGATGGACCTCCGGAAGTGAATTCAGATAGGTTACAACAACAAGACGAAATTAGGGACACACTAAATCAGGATTCCATTGATAATGGAAAAAATTTACTAGGGAATTTATACAATGGAACCCCTTTTCAAAAAACGTTGTGTGGATATTATATATTAGTAATGTTGAACGTTCAAATGTTAAGTCTAAAAAGAAGAAACCATGGTTTAACAAGGAATCCAGAATTTCAAGCAATATTTAGTAGCTTTACATATATTTGACATATATCACACGCTACTTTTACATAAAAATAATCTTAAAGCATTGAAAATAAGAATAAGATAAAACATTTTCTCATAATCATAATCCAAATTCAAATTCAATAAAACTACAGGGAAACTAGAACAAAAGAAAGATCTTCAAAGAGACTCCTGAAAAACTACAAGGAGAATAAGACAAGGCGATACGGAAGAGTAAGCGTGTTCTGCTTTTATCGACGAAACCTACCAAGTAAATAATTATTAATCTAAGCTAGTAATGCCATGTTAGACAGTGCCTAACACTTTAAAATTCTGCACAACACGAAAACAACATTTAGATTTAATGCATGTTAAAGAAAGAAATTTTGGCGATGGTAATAATTATATATCGGTGTTGAACTACAGTAAGACGTATTTGTTTTCATCAGTACCATTTTCAACAATATAACAATAGTACAGTCAACACCTGGTACGTAACAGAATCATCGTTGATTTTCCCGAGTTATTCTGGTTAAAACCGTTGACAGAGCACACCACCTCGCTCTTGAACCGACTCAAAAACATAATTAGATAACCTCTTGATGATGTGACTGTACATATCATATAACCTTATGAACTATTAAGGGTTTGTTAATTTGATTTTAATTTTTGTGAGTAGTTTTGAAATAAGTATCATCAACAAAACGTACAAAAATGTTTTTTCTTCTGTTTTTAGTCTCTCATTTTCAATGACAATAGGTTAGCCGTTGGTTTTGAAAGATTCAAATGGCATGAAGTCTAAACATAAGGTAACAGGTACTATGCTTTCCCAAACGCTATCTACAACTATATAACATTTACCTTAGGTGGATTCCAGTCAGTTGGATGGCTTGAGATTATGTTATTATCACTGACCACTTGTAGGTCAGTAGACTGGTTAACCAGGTGGCAGTAGAATTGAGTCCGATGGTACGTGATCCCATGGCAATGTACACGAAATAGACATTCTTTTACACATGATGTATAAGACGAGATATCAATCACGCGGAATACTCCCTTATGTAAACGAAATCCACGCACGTACTTTACATAATTCAGGTATATGATATCCTCATCTGACACGCTAACATCAAGAAATACCAGGGCTGGCATTGCCAACACAACAATTCCAAAAATAAACATTATCAGTCGTTGATCGTACAAAAATGCAATACTCGCATATTAAATGTCGATATCACGACCAATATAAATGAGATGAAGTCACTTTCTAATCCAGATTTAATGCTTCAGGCGAATTTCACACCCATATATTGATTGTGCAGTCCAATTGCATGAATTACGATGACACCTCTGTCCTGAGCTGGCGTTTTTCGAGTGACTACCGTAAAACCTAGAAGGGAAACAGATTTTCTGTATAGAAAGCATTGCGGACACTGTTTCGGAAAAAGCAACAAACAAATACTAACATTTCAGTCTCGATTTAAACTCAAATTAGGACAAAATGTAAACAAAAGAAAGAATTACAACTCTAATGCATTTACGATCAGATATTCCGGAAGGGTTAGCATTTTCATCATCAACAGCCATCTTTTACATTGATTTATCAAAGTTAGCAATGTTCCGTTCTTAAATGAGAACGAGGTAAAACAACAAGATTACAAACGAACATCAAACAAGTTAAACGTCATATTGTACATGGAAATGAGATATTTCCAAATTCAAAATATGACTACTGTCAAATTTCCCCATAATCTTCACCAACCAGCATTCCTTTAACCCATGTGTTGCCGACATTTTGCACTGATTTTGACGCATATCATTCTAGTAGTTCTATCCTGTTATAGGTACAATGTTTTAGGTCTTCAGTTCAGTCGTGGTTAGAAACAAACAAGGTAAATGGCTTATACACCACAAGTACTACTATGTGAGAGTCCAAGAAAATATCCGTTCATGTCTGCGCACGTTTAAGGCTTCAGCATCACTGATGAATTATATATGAAGTAACTATCAGTATGATGTGGTTCAGCTAATCTTGATTTCAGAATATTTTATTGTTATGATTTCAAAAACAAAAGGAATTGAGAAACCGGCATAACCAATAAAAGCCTTCTCCTTGCTACTATAATAAGTATACACATCATTCAGATAATCAAATAATTAGAATAAAGGTACGGAAATTATACAGATAAATTTGAGATATGTTTTCTGTCACAAAATAAACATTATTGGATTTTCCCAAGTAACATTTAGAGAAATATCTTATTGATTAAAGTGTATTTTTTACTTGTTAAAAAGAAAGTCAGAAAACAATGCAACGCAAATTACCTTATCAGATATCAAATCCAATCTTCAACCGAAAGTCTTGAATTTGGAGCTAACACGTTAGACATTTCAATTGTGCCATCAACAGCGACAACTGTAGGTTGCCGCCATATTTTTCAGCTGCATAGTAACTTGTCACAGGTTAAACTCTCTTTGAACATTATACAGCAAAATTTGTCTCTTAGTGACAAGAATAAGTACCATTTTCTATGTAAATATAAAAATAAATTTACAATGAATGTCGCCGCTGTGAAGTTATAATGAGAAATCAGTGTCCTCGGAAAGTTTAGTCAGCTTCCTCTTTTTATATTTCTTATATTTGATCTAAACATGCTAGTAATTTGGCTATTTTTCTTGTTAAAATATAGTAAATAGAATATCTAATAGTATCTACAGTAATAACACATATATTTCACTAGTGAATCAGCTCAAGAATCGATATATTCATATCTGTGTCATGTCAACCATTAATGAAATGTTTCATAATTAATAGATACATTCACTCGGCTCAAATAGGTGTCTTTGGTTAATAAAATAAAACGGTGACAATCAAACAGAAGGCTGTCTACCAGGATATCACACAATACATATTGACAGTAAAGTACAGCCGCGACCAGAAATGCTTGACCGGATACATGAGGCGCACCTTGGTATGGTCAAATGTAAGGCACGCGCGAGGGAAGTACTATTTTGGCCAGGAATGAGTACTGACATAGAAGAGAAGGTTGCCACATGCAACATTTGTGCTAGATACACAAACATCAACGCAAAGGAACCATTTATACCCCACGACATACCAAACCGACCATGGGCTAAAGTGGCAATGGATCTATTTGAACTTAAGGGTCAACATTACCTGCTTAGCGTAGACTATCTTTCAAAGTGGCCTGAGATCTCAAAATTACAAGGACTGACAAGCAGCTCTGTTATTAACCATGTTAAGTGCCAGTTTTCCAAATATGGAATTCCAGACCAAGTCATAAGTGACAACGGACCACAGCTTGCGAGTCGGGAATTTGCCAAATTCTCAAAAGACTACGGTTTTCAACACACTACCACGAGTCCACATTACCCCTCATCAAATGGTCAAGTGAAAAGAATGGCACAGACATAAAAGAGACTGCTGAAGAAGGCAAATGACCCATACCTAGCAATACTCGATTATCGAAACTCACCGATCGATGGAATTGACCTTTCACCTGCACAAATGTTCATGGGAAGGCGACTTAAGACCACCCTACCCATTGTTGAAACCACGAGTGTCAGACGAGATTCAGGACAGTTTAAAGTTAAGACAATTTCGACAAAGAAATAATTTTAATAGACATGCGACAAAAGGTCTCAAACCATTACAAGAGAATGACACTGTCATGAAGAAAACAGGTAATGAAAGGAAATGGACGCACAGCACTGTAGTTGATAAACACCAGACACCAAGATCCTATGTAGTACAGACATCAGATGGAAAGAAATACAGAAGGAACAGGAAGCATCTCAAAGTAACACAGTCCTTACCTACACTGGATGATGAGGATATAAAGCTAGAGAGAAGTCCTGCAGTTCTAAGTCCAACAATACACTCCGAGGTTGACCTCAAGTCACAACCTGCATGTGTACCAACTGTCAGTCCTGATGATAAGCCTCGTGATTTAGTCAAAAGTCCATATAAAACTAAATCAGGTCGCGAAGTTCGGAAACCAAGTCGGTTCCGGTGAATATTAACATATACAAAGCTTAAACAGTTATAGTTCTAGTCAAAACAATATTTAGTTGTGATTTCCTGGCAGGATGTGTTCCGTGACGTGTTCCAATACGCGTTCCATTGTTATATGTTCTTTGATCTATTCTTTGGTTTGTTTATGCTATACTACTCATTGACGAAGTTCAAGAACATTGTAATTTATTTTGCATATCATTCAATATAAAATAGTTTTTATCATTTACAAGAATTACAACCGTTGTATTGCTTTTATAAAAAGACTTTTGATCTGAGAACTGTGCTAAATGATAAGAAATAACAAACACTATTGATATGGTAAATATAACTCATCTTATTATTAGTGTTATAGTGTTAAAGATCTTTCAGTTAAAAAAGAAAAAAAAGAGAGATGTCGTGTAATCACATTTAATGTCCATGTTCAGGTCAATAGTGTTACCCGTTAGTCTTGATCTCATCTGTGTTTTAATTGTTAATATGTATGTCAAGCGTCTGGCTGAATAGAATGTTGTTGTTACAAGACATGGTGTGGTTCTTTGTATGTGACAGTTGCTTCCAATTGGACATGTAGGTCTATAATACTGCAATATCAATTTTTTAAAAAATACATATATCTATATACATATATATATATATGTCTGTTGAAAAGTGACCCTCCAAAACTACTCGACCTTTGTTTATATATCAGATGATTTGAGTCCGCGTAGATAAAATCAGTATATTTTTCATAAACATTTACCTATGTTTGGACGATAATTTGTTGTTTTTTTATTTTGAAACGAAACCAAACAGTAGTTGCATGGCCTGATCTCCAAAATTTGAAGGGAAACAAAGTTGCCAAAACATTTTGAGTATCAGTTTGAAGGAGAAAGTGGATACAGAGTAGGGCTATATATGTGATAAATTATTTATTGAACGGCGTACATATCTCTTTTTTGAAATCCTTCTAGCAGCTTCACGAACGTGAAGGTAGTGTTTTTATGTTGCTCTCCGTTTCCAAGCGGTCTATCGCAAGCGAGTTAGAATATGACAAATACGTTCCTAATCAATTAGAACACATTTACGACTGTACAGTGGGTTACCACGCACCATGATCCATGGGTCATCAGCAAAGCGATTACAAGAATAATACCTCCTAGAAATTACTTTTACCAGTTGTGATTTATCGAATATATCTTGATTCATTCCGTATCACGTGAACTGATCATGGTGGAGTGAATTCTTATCAATTCAATAACGACAGAAAGTTTTTTGTCGGATTCGGGTTAGATATCACCAGCAACAGGAAGCGATTGTTTGTACAGGCTCTGCAAGCCCGGAAATAAGAATATTATTTTCAGGTGCGGCTGTTCTTAACTGTATGTAATATTGACGCCATATTAATAGTGAAATCAGATTTCGTGAGAATATACTGTTTATACAGTGGTAAGATGACATGAATCTTGTCAGCAGGTCACCAACTCCTTGCAACAGCATAAAATAAAACATTGGAACTCGATCTCAGTTTCTTGATTGTGATGAATAACAAGTGTGAGAGGGATTCATGTACGTCAGTCATGCATTTTATTGTCGTCTCATACTCATACGAAAAGTTGTTGCCGGTTAGCTTCATCCGGACTTAGGTACAAACTAATAAAATGATATACAATAATGTCCGGATTTCAGTTATCTCCCTTTGACCATTTACCCTGTTCTCCATGCCCAGTACACATACTAATATAGAATCACAACATGATGTTATCTACTCTTTCTCTTCCAAATCGATCAAGTCCTCAGTTGATTCATCAAAAGAATGTTTGACCATGAAAATCCAAAATCAATTACTGCGGGGGACATGTGTGTATTGCTGCAGCTATAATCAGTATGCTTATTCTTTATACAGTATTAATGGTGTCCTTGGCTAGAACTGATTTTGTCTTCATGATATTTTTTTTATTAATAATGATGTAGCACATCAGATGAGAAGCTCTATATCCACCAAGCCAGTCGTAAACTATAAAGTTGAAGTAGAATAGATGGAAAGTTCAGCTAATCATAGTAATCGGAAACCTTCGGGACTATCCGTAAATGAGAAAGTATTCTCATGAGAGGAAAGTTTTCATTTACGGAAAGTACCGATGTTGTTTTTATTGCTGAGGTACGTTACGTTACGTTGCAAAAATGTGTAATGGATGTTGTCAAGCTGATAACAGGATTGTTAAGATTTTACACCTCCGATTTACCAGCAGGTAAAGAATTCCGGAAGGATAAGCGTTATATACGTTCAGTTCGTGAAATATCGACATCAGTTCTTCCATCAGGCCATCTTCTGTGAACTGACATGTGAAATCTTATTGAGAAATATCCTACAAATGCATGTCTTTGTGAGACCTAAAGTTCGACGTTATTGATACTGGTTAGTTTGTCTGCTGCTTTCGTTGCAGCATAAATTGCTGTCATTATAAGAACGAGACATTACTGACTTGGACTGGTCAAGATTTACATGGTGGATATCGTCCATGGAACAGAAAACGCTTACTCTTTCGGAACACCTTGTCTTATTTATGTCCGCTTTCAGAAATCTCCGTGTAAATCTTTATTTTGTTCATATTTTATCTAGTTTTATTGAATTTGAGTTTGGATTATGGTTATGTTCTCATATTGGTATTTTCTTTTTTTTTCTTTTTTTAAAATATTTTTTGCATCCTTGAATGACGGAGGAATTGCTGACAGTATAAGTTACACATTTATGCCTACCCATAGAATCCATATTAGAAAAAGTTTCATCCAAAGTTGGTGCTTCATCTCTCTATTATGAAATAACAATATTTGAATAGTTGAGAAGCAAACAAATATCGATTCGTCAGTGTTCGTGTTCGATGTTGTCAGGATGATTACATCAGAATTACTAAATTATTGAAGCGAAATCATGACCGAGGCCTGGTGGAAATACAAATTAATGGATTTTCACCTGCTTCACTTATTCAAACCGTAAAAGATAAAACACCCTTTGAAATTCACATGGTCTCTACGACAGAAGATACATTATTTTATAATCCTGAAACAAGCCTTAACCCAGTATATATGTACCGTAACGTTATTGATCCTGGCTTCAGTGATATGTTGAAACAATCGTTGAAAACCTACACTCGTATTGTCTGTTTCTATAAATATGGTTGTATATGTAAATCCGATTCTACTTCAAGATCCCATTTGATAATCAGGTGTAATAATTCCTCTATATTATCCTTACCCATGCTACGATCTCACCCCTTTACTTACATAGAAGTGAGAATCATTCAATTACATTGTGTGATGTTAAGTTAGATGTGTGGGAGTATATCTGATGATTATTTAATCCATGCATAACTGGTTCTCTTTTTAAATTGTGAGATTATTTTCAATCGATGTGGATTCCCGTTTTTTATCTTTCCATATGTATTTTCAACGTTTTGCTGATTTCAAGTTGAAATTGTTCTTATCTCCCCTACAATACCTCATATATGTATATGTGTTTCACATAATTTGTTATGCAGGCGAATTCTTTTACATTTTAACGACGTTAATTTTTCAACACAAAAATTTTTTTAGATGCTTAAAAATGTTGATTTCATCCTCTTTTGTAGGTATTTGTTGCCATTTTGTCGCCAATCGTCGGCATTTCCCGCCATTTATCGGTTCTAAATTAAATACCACATGGCGCGGGATTTCGTCTGCAGCCGATGAAATAGAACAGGGAAAACAAAAAGAATCGAACCCAGGTTTCAGGCATATTCAACTGTCCCGCCAACCGAGCCAAAGAAACATGTTCGGTTAATTTTTTTCCACTATGTACCAGCAACAATGACCCGCTCCTTTTATACTATAACAAAAAACAACTTAAGTAGTGCTACAGTCATTGTCATAGATGCATGCATGAGTGACACAAACCAGTACCATTCGTATTGAAAAGCATTGACTTTGACATCGAATTCCTCAAAGTGCAGACTTCAAGCCTACATTTTGGTAATTCCTCTTTATAAAAGAGACGAATTACGAGGCGATTTCTTCTAGCTGTCTTTATCAAAGAAGAAAATTCTTTTTTTTCATTTTAAGAAGCGTGTTTTTAGGCGAGTATTTTGAAAACGTTACATATTTCACTATTTTATGTCGAAAAAGGCCTTTTTAACGGTTTTTTGGAGGCGATGTTTTTGTAAGCCTTTAGTAGACATATGTTGTTAATCAGACCATATTATGCTTTTTTTATCCTAAGTGGGCTGGAACATGTACGTTAATCTATGAAATGTAATCCAATAAGATATATACTGAAACTTATTTGTCCTGAAATATGGAATGTTGTTACGAATGAAGCATTCATTTGGTTAGCTATTGTCGGTTTACATTAATATTGAGGAACATTTTTGTTTTTATTATTTTTC